ACATCTATCCCTAAGAGATTTACCATCTACATCACACCAAGAAACAGAGCCGATTAGTACCTTCATAACTATCTGATATACATCCTAGCTCATCTATTAGAAAAGCCTTCAGTCCTGATTTCTCATTGACATGATAATGGAAGATATCCGCAACCTTGAAAATACCACACAACCCATAGGAAACATAATCTCATGCAAATAAAAAATAAAAATCCAAGCTAAACACTCACGTCTAGCTCAGAAAATGATATCTTAGTGTTCTTGTGGAGATTTGAGACAGCAATCCCTTGCAGCAAGCTGAAGATAAAAGACAGAAAACATTTCAATTATGCGTACCAAGCAAGTATTATAGGTCAATAACTGAAAAATGTCGAAGTTAAAAGGTATTACCTGATTCAATCATATGAGACACCAATCCAATCCACACAACAAAAAAAACGATTAGTGTTTTGTTTGAGATGAATATTCCCGTGAAAAGGTGAATTTCCTTTTAGCAGACAATAACAATTCTGTGAATATATTCACCATAAACGCGGCGCATGGAAATTACGTAAGAAACAGAAAGTAGGGTTAAACCAAGATTGTTACTTGGGACAGAAGAAAGAAAATCTTCTTCGAAAACCCCAAATGGGAATGGATAAGAGGGAGTTACAGAGAAAACCACAGATAGAGACAAAAGGTCTCTTAAGCATACATATAATTTTTGGAGGCTGATGAATAACTCGAATTTCTTTTATCATATGTATACTCATTGTCATTTGCATCTCCATTGGCATATGCACCTTCTTCCAAGTTCCATCTTACCGCTTAACTTCCATTTGGATGAGGAGTTAAGCCAAATCGTTTTCTCAATCTACCCACCAAGTTCATCTATTCATGTTTTAGTTATTACCTTAAATATAAGGCTTCAAAAGCATCGACGAAAAGTAACAAAGAATCAGAGAATAAACCAACCTCCACTGCTGTATAGAGCAGTGGTATTTTCATACTCGAGAATATAGGATCCTAATATTGATCGATTATTGGTACCTTGAGAAGATGGAGTCGTTCGTCTATGGTGAACTCCATTTGAGTGTAAGCCATACCTTGCTCTTTACACAAAGCCCCTTTGCAGTTTTCCAAAACTTAGAATTTATTCTCCATTATCTCCATTAGATTCACCAATTTCCTACACTAATGGAGACAAAAAAAATTGAAACATCAAATAAAAACTCAGCTTTTATCATCTAAAGGAAAAGAAATCTTAGCTTATGACGTGCTATACACAACCTCTATCCCAATCTAATTTCGATATCGACTCTTTGAGATACATTGCAAGCTAGAAGATGAATCAAATGCAAACTAGTATAATCAGGCAATCAGGCATTAGGACATGTAGAAGATAAATCAACTAATATTAGGGAACTTACGAAATGGGTAGATATGATAAGGGTAAACATATAGAAACAACAAGCATTCCATGGACTAAACGATTCTCTAATCCAGCTTTACGGGCAGATTCTGGATCAAAATGAAATGGTTTCCAATCATGGCTCACCTCAGAATATACCTAAACATCTTCACTTGAGAACACTCTTTCTTCTCTTAATGCATCACCAACTTTGAATTACGCATTAGGTAATGACTTCTACCACATTGGATTGACCACCCAGGCTGAGTATGATCCACATTATGTTTCTCAATATAATCATGATTTACCACGAGCCTAGTGTTGTCTTTCACGAGCCTAGTGTTGAAAGATTTGACATCTTTGTCATTGTGTTGTCTTTCAATCAAGTATTAACCAGTTGTTACGCAAAAAAGTTAGGTTAACCTTCATAAAATTCTTTCTTTTGCTTATGTGATACGTTTATCTTTTGCGAAATAAGTTATGAGAGATTACCAATTAATAAAATTAATAATATTAAATTATGGGTGAATGAATTGCTGGTCTTTGAACTAGGTAAGTATGAATAAGAATGTGAAACTAATGCATAGAAGGCCTGACTTTATGGTTCACTTGTGAAACAAGTAACTACCTATTAACCTTGAATTGTTCCTTGCTAGAAAGAAAAGAAAAACCTCTTTAGTTTTGTCGAAGTGTTCGACTTATAATTTAACTATACAATATTGATCTTTAGAAATGTGTGAATATACTTGAAGACAACCTTCTCACTGCTGCTATGTGCTAACCAACACCCATATTAAATATTACCAAGATTCATAATATTACGAAGGTTTGTGCCAACTAGGAAAAATTGTAAATCCAACCCAAAAAGCAAAGATACAGTTAAAGAAATTTGTTAAGATAATATATCTCTTTCGAACCCAAGTGACAAAGTTAATGAAGAAAACTGTTTAAAATTTTATAAACATAAAACAGTTGACAACAAATTTTCTTTATGTTGTTTTGAATGTAAAGTTATTTATTTTAAGTTTCTTAAAAAATTTAGTATTTTCGCAAAGTGTTATTAGAAAGTAGCAATTATGTCATTATTTATGACCATTTTGTAGGAAGTAAATTTAGAGGAGACAAATATTGCAATGAAGAAAACGATTTGAGATACAGGAAAATGTTTTATAAAAGCGGTTTAAGGAAAAACGAGAAGTGGAGGCGAGATGATCTCTTTCCTTAATTCAAAATATCTCCCGCAGTGTGGCGGTTGGATGAGATAATGAATCCCAGGATACAACCACTGATATTCGTATAATCGCAGCACCCGATTATAGAATGTGACGAACTAATATTCTACGATATACTCTCGGGACACTTACTCTTGAAAGAAGAAAAGAGACGCGAGAGATTGAAGAAAAGTGTAAACGATTTTTCTCTGTAAAATTTTTGTTGAGAGCGATCAAAACTGGAAGAGGAGAAGTCGATATATATAGCGAAGGAGAGAGGAGCGTCGCACTTAATCAGCGTGTTAATGACGTGATTAATTTTGCGCTAATGACGCGATTTGGGCGTTAATCTTGGCGTGATTTTTGGGATAGACATTTGACTGCAGTTTAATGTCGTGACTCTGTTAAAAAATTGAACCGAAAACTTTAGCAATTTGGGCCAGAAATGTTGACCAAAACGTGTCCCAAAAAAAACATCTTACCAAGACCCAAGACCCAAGACCCAAGACCCAAGACCCAAGACCCAAGACCCAAGACCCAAGACCCAAGACCCAAGATCCAAGACCCAAGATCCAGCCCGGCTCGGCGGCGGCGGCGCGCGAGGGGTCTTTGGTTCTCCTTCACACACTTTAAACTATGTCATGTGTGTGTCTATATTTATATGACTCTAAATTTTTCCAATCCTTGGATGTGGGACAAAAAGAAGTTCCTCACATTTTAAGTTGCCTTGAAGGACTTTATTTTTATTCACACTTGACCAAATTTTAAAGCCGTTGGGCTTTGTAATAATTTGGGTCCAACAATCCCCCACATGAATAGAAATAACTCTAGACATACGACCGGACTGACTCGAAGACTGGACTCCACTAGACTAGACTAGACTAGACGGACTTTCGAGAGTATAAACGAAAATTCCACTGTGTTTGAGATAGTAGTATGTTTCAACCTTGAACCACTCAATGTTAATATCTGTCGGGCTTACTCGGCCAGGAGGTGAACATGATGTCTTGAACCACCCGGATTTTGATGTAAACCAAGACAACAAATACAACTCAGTTTTATTTTCTCGTAGAACTAAGTTCTCTATTGTGTTCATTTTGGCCTTGAACTTGCCTGGTGAATCATGAGTGAAGTTGGAGAATATAGCCTGTAGGAAGTAAATTTAGAGGAAACAAATATTGCAATGAAGAAAAAGATTTGAGATACAGGAAAACGTTTTATAAAAGCGGTTTAAGGAAAAACGAGAAGTGGAGGCGAGATGATCTCTTTCCTTAATTCAAAATATCTCCCGCAGTGTGGCGGTTGGATGAGATAATGAATCCCAGGATACAACCACTGATATTCGTATAATCGCAGCACCCGATTATAGAATGTGACGAACTAATATTCTACAATATACTCTCGGGACACTTACTCTTGAAAGAAGAAAAGAGACGCGAGAGATTGAAGAAAAGTGTGAACGATTTTTCTCTGTAAAATTTTTGTTGAGAGCGATCAAAACTGGAAGAGGAGAAGTCGATATATATAGCGAAGGAGAGAGGAGCGTCGCACTTAATCAGCGTGTTAATGACGTGATTAATTTTGCACTAATGACGCGATTTGGGCGTTAATCTTGGCGTGATTTTCGGGATAGACATTTGACTGCAGTTTAATGTCGTGATTCTGTTAAGAATTTGAACCGAAAAATTTAGCAATTTGGGCCAGAAATATTGACCAAAACGTGTCCCAAAAAGAACATCTTTTGTGGTAATAAGATCTAGAAATCGTTTTTAGGTAATAAATTCTAGAAATCCTTTCCAAAAATTTATAAATTTAGAATCATTTTAAATTGTTAAATAAATAACTCAATTTTCACATATCACTCTTATATATATTTTTCCATAATTTCAACTTCCTTTCTCATATACGTAGCTAAAATCTCATATACATAGTTAACCCTTATATAGAAAATTATACTGTTATAGAGTACTCATTTTTCATGCTGTATAGATAAATTTATGGTTGATGACAACATATTCAAAGAAATACTTTCCCAAACATATATGAAATATAGAATCACTATTTATAATGGTTATAGATATTGTATATCTAATTTCTTTTAGTTTTAAAAATAAAAATAATTATAAGTCTTTCTTTCTTTGATGCAAGACAAAAAAAATTGGTGTAATGTTTTACTGTCACGACATACTTATTCGGAATCTGTTTCTCTTCAATTTCTTCCAGAATGAAATTTCCTTTTATTGTATTTTTCAAAAAGCAAAAATTAAAACACCCCCCCCCCCTCCCCCTCCCCTCCCCTCCCAAAAAAAAAAAAAATCTCTACTATTGGCCGTGTCTATATAAAATATCGAACACCAAAGCACATGCTAGTTTTATCACCTCAAGTGCCTATCTATTCCGCCAAAACCTTTTACGGTTACTACAAACCTATCCAAAGATGGCTTCTTCTTCTTCCGTCGGAATCTCTCTCTCCTTCTTTTTATGGGCTCTGCTAATCTCACCGTCTGTCTCACAAACCTGCAAGTCACAGACATTTTCCGGCGAAAATTCCTACCCTCACTGCCTAGATCTCCCTCAGCTCAAAGCCTTCCTCCACTACTCCTACGACGCCACCAACAAAACCCTCGCCGTCGTCTTCTCCGCTCCGCCGTCAAAACCTGGCGGATGGATCGCCTGGGCAATAAATCCAACATCCACCGGTATGGTCGGAGCTCAAACCCTCGTCGCTTACAAGGATCCAGGCAAAGGTGTCGCCGTCGTGAAGACGCTAAACATTAGCTCATACAGCACGCTTATTCCGTCGAAGCTAGCTTTCGACGTTTGGGATATGAAAGCCGAGGAAGCGTCGAGAGATGGTGGAGCGTTGAGAATCTTCGCGAGGATTAAAGTTCCGGCTGATTTGGCGGCGATGGGAAAGTTGAACCAGGTGTGGCAAGTCGGTCCTGAAGTGGGTCCTGAAGGAAGGATAGGGAAACACGATTTCGACCCCGCCAATCTTGTTTCTAAGGGCCCTCTTGATTTGAACGGCGATAATAACGGCGGCGTAATCTCCGGCGGTGGCGACGGCGAGGGAGATTCCAAGATCAAGAAGAGAAATGTGAGTTTGTATTAGGAAAAACAGAGGAAAACAGAGGAAAATCAGAGGAAACCGAAATTAACCGGAAAATAACTGCTAAAAAGAATATGTTTTTGAAATGTAATTGAAGCTTGAATTTGGTGATAATTTTGCAGATTCATGGGATATTAAACGCGGTGAGCTGGGGAATTCTGTTTCCGGTAGGAGCAATAATAGCTAGGTACATGAGAATATTTGAATCCGCAGATCCTGCTTGGTTTTACCTCCACGTGTCTTGCCAGTTCTCTGCTTACGTCATCGGGGTTGCTGGTTGGGCCACCGGACTCAAACTCGGCCGGGAATCCGAGGGTATTCGCTTTGCGAGCCATGGAAACATTGGCATTGCCCTCTTCTCCCTCGCCACCATTCAGGTAATCACAAGATCTCGTTAAGTTCTGTTTTTAACCCTTACTTGTTCAAGATTCAAGATTCAAGTTCTGTTTCTTACACTATCTCTTGTCTTTATGTGTTTTTGTGTCTAGATGTTTGCGATGCTATTGAGGCCAAAGAAAGACCACAAGTACAGATTCTATTGGAATATTTACCACCATGGAGTAGCCTATTCGATCCTCATCCTCGGGATCATTAATGTTTTCAAAGGTCTTAGCATCTTGAACCCACAAGAAACGTACAAGACGGCTTATATTGCAGTGATCGCTAGCCTTGGAGGCTTAGCATTGCTCTTGGAAGCCGTTACTTGGGTCATTGTGCTCAAAAGAAAATCAAACAACTCAATGAAGCCTCTTAGGACCTGAGCCAACAAATATTTGGTTTGCTTTTAAAAAAAATCATCTGCAGATGTTGTTACTGGTTAAAATATGACCACTGAGTGTGTTAATGTATAGAAGAAACACATGTACTATTATTGTCATGTCTTTTGTAGCTATTTGTTTATTCTCTTTTCTAGAGTTATAAATTTATGAAGGGGATTAAGATTTTGAAGTTTTATCTTATTCTACCTTGAATCTACGATTTTTTTTTTGCAAGATTCCAGCTAATTATTTACTAATTACAATGTGATTAAAGACAATAAAAAAAAAAGACAATCAAGTATGTCCACATGCTTGTGGGCAATGGAATAATTTTAAGATAAAAAGCCTATGTTCTAGTCCCAGACAAATTATGGTGCGAGAACATAATCATACCTACGTCTTCCTCAAAAAAATATTCTTCTTATTGTTAAGATGTATTTGTCCTTTCATTAGTCATTTAGACTCGTTACTCAAAGGTCCCAAATCCCAATCCACTTTTATTGGCATTATTGTAAAAAAAAAATTGAAATCCCATATGATTTTTTTTTTTTAACATTGTTCCTTTCTATGTTTTGTTGAAATTTCTTTTGAAAACTTTTTCAACGTTCTTTCTTTCTTTAGTAAAAGTGGTGGTTGGACTGTCGAGTTTGGATTCCCATGTGTCATTGCATGTCAACATTTTGTTCAAAGACATGTCGTTTTCAACTTGTCATAATTAAGGATGTCAAAACAAAAAAACTTTCATAATTAAGGGAACAATTTGTTCCGCAACCTAAGGCCCATAATTAAGGGATCCCTTAACTATAATAATCATAAATGAAAATATTAATTTGTATGATCCTTTATACGTCTTTACAGAAACAGTTCATATACAATACAACTTTTGCTTTGTTACTTTATTCTTAAACTATACAGTTGTTTAACCCCAAAAAGCTTTCTTTATTCCAAAATCAAATCTATGAGCTTGTAGATCATACTAATTCCAAGATGCTGTATATATCTTCACTTTGTGGATGCAACCGATCACCAGATTTAAACTCTCAAAACCAGATTCTTGATATTAATTGATGACCTCTTTGATCACACCTTTTGATTTCATATTCTTCCTCACATTTTCAGCCTCTTTCCATTTCCCCGTGCTTGAATACATAGTGTTACATGTATAGCAGAACAAGTAGGATCCAGCTCTAGAATCCTCTCGTTCTTCTTCCGCGTTCTATATCTCCTTTGGCGTTACACGCTCTAAGAAGAACGGTCCAGAGACCAGAGTATATCGTCCTTCTTAATTGCATCTCATTGATCATATCATCTTCTCTGCATCACTTAGCCGTCCTGCTCTACACAACCAGATCAACCACACATAAAAAAAAAACCCATACATCCATAGTGTTGCTTGTCTGGTCTCATATTATACTTGTCTTGCATCAAATTGGAAAAGTGAAAACCGAGGCCAAGCTGTCCCAAATGAGAGCAGGCGGTGAAAACGCTGGCAAAAGTTATTGTGTCTGGTCTGAATCCAAGCGTTAGACTCTTCTCAAACTGATGAATCGCCTCTTTGGCCTTTCTGTGTACTGCATATCCATTGATCATAGCTGTAAAGAAACATTAATATCATATCTACCTGTTGCTTCAAGTATCTTTGAAGCTTCTATGATACTTCCACATTTGGAGTACATAATAATCAGAGAATTATGAATCGTGGACTTCTGGTCTAAACCAAGATGAAGCGCTGATAATACCGAATTTTTACTATTTTTATGGATAATAACTTATGTAGGTGTTTTTACTCAGTTTTTTTTTTAATAAGTGATTTCCATGTTTTAGAGTTTTAAAAGATTTTTCAGGAAATTTGAATTTTTGAAATGCATTTTGGAACAAAAATATATTTTTGGATAAATTCAGGCCGTCATAAGTTTTACAATCAATGAAGACCTTTTCACCATCCGGTTATCCCCAAATTTAGAGACATTACAGAGGAGACAACCAAATTTTCAATTCACTTATAATCAATACAATCCAACGGTTACATCTCCTGATATTATCAATTCACTGAATGCAGATCAACACAGCCCAGAAAAGTGAAGCAGCTCTCACCCGCGGCCAAGACACTCTACACCGTGGCTCAGCCACTCTCACCCGCGGTGGACCTTATTACGACCCTTAGAAGCCCAACCAAGGCTCAAGTCATTTCCTGCACTCATTTTACAAACCCTAGACGCCTAGAAGAGGAGAAGCACTATAAATACATTGTCTATACGTCTTTTGTAACCAAGCCTCTTTCATGCTTTAGAGAGAAAGTACTTCATTTTAGTTTTAGGTTTTACTTTTATGATTTTGTAGAAGGCTTTTATCGCTATAATTGTCTTCAATAAGAGAAGCTTTTCTTCATCTTCTATCTTTTTACTTTATTGTTTTTGTTTTTAAACCAATGATGATGTCAAACTCAGTTGTCTTAGTAGTTACCTTGTTGGGTAAAGGGACCATCAAAAGGGACCCCATGATCGATAACATCTAGGTTTTTAAGAGAAAGGATTTTGATTTTAAATGACTCTCCCATTCATCCCGTTGCTAATGATGTATGTTGGAGTAGCTAACCAGTATCCGATCTAAGGTTGAATCAGAGCCACGAGACTGATGTATCAGATTGCCTTAACTGAAACTTATGGACGTAACCGTTGTAGGAGATGAAAACTACCTACGGAGGGGGGTGTCAGCCGAGATGAATTTCAATCAATATTGCATGATCTCTTTCGCGACAAGAGACGAAAGCTACTTGTCTAGTAAGAGTGATTAGATGATTAGGGTGACGAGAGTTGGCTAAACTTATAAGTTTCTATTTTAGTTCCAGAGTCATAGAAAATCCTTATCTAGATCTTTTGTGTCATAGATCATGAATCCTAGAGATAAACCCTAAGCCCAGCGCCGTTTTTCAATTTTTTTCAAACCGATTTCTTTTCAAGCTTTTATATTCCTGCTTAGTTTATTATAATTAGTGACAACCAAAATCCCCTTTTAATCTGATTAGGTATACAACTGTTCTTGGTATCAGTTAGGAGTCCTCAACACACAAATCCCTGTCGATTCGATCCTTAAGTACTACTGCGTTTGTTGTGCACTTGCAGCTTGTTTAGGGTAAAAGTTGTAGTAGCCCACTGCACCCACACCAAGCGCTAGTGCATGAAATTGCCTGACGCATTGCTCAAGAAATGTCATGTATCCTGAATCACTCAGAAAACTATCAAGAGCATCATCCGTTAGTTTTGTCCCTCCTTGTCTCATCCATGAGAAATACTTAAAACCTTCTTCTCCAAAACCGGCTTGAGAATACCCTATGATAACTGTGGTCGACGAAATAGTGTCTTTGCATCTCATTTTTTGAAACAAAACAGAAGCATAGTCTAACTTCCAACATGTTAAATACACCTTAATTCATCATAGAGTTACTCACTGACAAAAAAATCATAGAGTTACTCACTGACAAAGATAAAACATTACCGTGGAGCTGCTCTCCCAAAACAAGCCTAAAAAGACTCACACACGAAGCAAACATCAATGCGAAAGTTTGTTAACTGGGCTATTTTTCTGAATTTCTTATCCGTATGAATGCGTCCACAGCTTTTTCCTCTTGACCCATTCGACTGTAAGCAACAATAGGGCTTTTCCACTAAACCACATCCCGGATCTCACTCATACTTTCAAACAAACGATGCCCGTCTTTCATTTCCCTGCATTTAGCATACAAGAATTAGTCTGACAGAGAGTTGCACAAAGCCTGTCACTATCACATGACTATGAATCTCCTTCCCCTACCTAGCTTGATGCTAACCGGCAGAAGCCTTCAAGGCAGTTGCAAACGCAAAAGAGTTAGATATTAGCTCTTTCGACCTCGACATCTTTGGAAAGTACATTAGCCTTTCCTTATAACGACCATAATTAAACAGACCCGATATGATTGTTGTCCACGTTATTGATCTGAATGATCACTAAGTATGTTTAAGAGGTAATGAACATGATTAAGATGTAATGGGGGGGGGGTGATATTTTCGTAATATAGAAAGGATTTGACTTTGACAAGAAAATTGACTAAGTAAACAGGCAGGTCGGGGACCGTGTCATTTGTATTGATAGAACAAACGTTTAGAACTTCGAACTAAGTCCTGAGAGAAGTCAGTTTGGCGATTGTGTCCTTGGTTACAAAGAGCTCGGTTTAGAGAGAGAGAGTTACAAGTAGAGAGAGAGTGTAAAAAATTCGGGATCTCCCTCATGAATGATCTTCGAGGAGTATTTATAGAGGGGATTGGGAAGCAAGTCTTCCACATAACTGGGGCGACGTGGCAGCTCCAGCGTATTCCGTCGGTATCGGCGCGTTTGGACCACTCTGCGGCGAATGATGATGAGCTCATCGCCAGACTATTTGCACAGATAGGTCATTATAGGCGAAGTGCCCCTACATGTGTCGGCTCTTGCTTGGTTCTGCTCACTATAGATCAGCGCCATAATGATGATAATGGGATGGAACCATGCTGACTAGATTTGTTGACTTCAGGTTGACTTCCTTGTTGACTTCAGGTTGACTTCCTTGTTGACTTGGCCAACAGGCCTTAATTGCCAAGATGGCCTAGCTATTTGGGGTGCTAAGCCCACCTCCAACACATGTTACGATATTCCTAAAAAGCATTTCACTAAAACTCTTGTCCATCTTTCTAACATTATTGTTCAAAACCAATAAACAACCTCCTACGAAGCAGAAAAGTTTTCACGGCGTAAGCATGTAGAGATTCTCCATATATACGCAAGGTTAGAACTTTGAACACAAACCTTGATTGCATCACTTGGAACGTCGCTATTGCCAGGATCAAGATTCAAGATGCATCAAAGTGAAAATGATATTTCTATAGACAAACATAACTGTGTTCTTCTTCTGTGGTTGTGAATTGATTTTTCTCTTCAATTTTATCTCTTAAAACTCACTTCTTCCCCTTCAACTCTGTAATTTGGAGTAAAAGATATTGTCATTTGAAGCACCTCCACCGTCAAAATTCCTAGGGGTTAAAATCCTCATGGAGATACAAGAATTTGAAATGTCTCAGGCTGCCACAACATTCAGACAAGTGCAAAGTAGAAGCAAAGTTTAACGATGATGGATGAATTCAGATTCAGCCCTTTTATGGTTCAAACAGCATAAATTATGTTCAACGGTGTCATCCTCAGCGTAAGTGCCTCCAGCGACCATGACTTACAGGCATAGCCGGATCTGAGATTTTGGGGACTTGAAACAAAATAAAAAAACAGGGGCCACTAATTTTTTTTATCATAAAAATATTTTAAATAAAAAAACTTTAAAAAGTGCGAAAGTACTAATAATACACAAATAATAAAAAAAAACTAGTAGCAATCTATGGATTTCGAAAAATAAGTCTTCTCGCATTTTTCTCTGCAAAATCATTTATCAAACTTTGGTAGTAAAGCTTTCCAACCATATCTCTCTCAATTGACAACATTGCCAAACCATTCAATCTTTCATCTGCCATACTTGACCGCAAGTAAGACTTTATTAACTTCAGCTTGGAAATAATTCTTTCAGCCGAAGCGGCAAAAACTGGAATAGTTAGCATCACTCTATATGCAATCCACGTATTTGGATAACCATGGCCTTCAAATCTTCTTAAAAAAACCTAACACTTCAACAGCTTTCTTGATCTCACTTGGCAAAACATTTCTTAGAATTCTGATTTCTAGATAAATATGATATCCATCAACATCTGAATTGGCACCATGTTTAAGAGAAGATTCAAGGTTGATACATTTTGCCTTCAAACTATCATCAGTTGCCGATTTGAGCTTATGTAGATCAAACAAAAACCCAAAAGTTGTAAACAAAAACCGGTTTAATATTATACTTGTTGGATTTTGTCAAATTTGACAAATTTCAGGTGGGTTATTTTTGGAGGTCCGTGCGAATTACAAAAGCTGGAGCAACATATTCTATTTATAGAGAAAAGTTAGAAATCTCTTTCACTTCAATTGTCAATGTGAGATTCTTTAAAAAGCTGCTTTCTATAACTTTTGTTTGAATTATTTTGCTGGGTTTTACCAAGATCGAAATGTACCTAAATATTTGGGCTGAAAGGATTTTATTTTTTCATTTTATGGATTTAAAAAAAAATTATAAGCTGGATTTTAGTTGAAAATTTTGGGAGCTTGAAATAAATTCTGGGCTTGGCTCAGATCCGGCCCTGCTTATAGGTGGTCTTATTTTTTGTGGATAATTCTCTCCAAAACTGATAGTTTGTTGTTTTGTGGTTAGTATATTGGGCTTCTTGGATAATTTCATTCTTACTCCCACGACGTAAAACCATGTTATATATCTAATGAACTCATGTTTTATTACAACTAAGGTTGAGTCCGCGCTTCGCGCGAATTTTATTTTATATTTTTGTGTGTTTTATATTTTTATATGCTTTTTTTAAAAAAAATTGTTTGGTAATTTTTTTTAGTTTAATAGTTTTTTCTATATTTGCATTGTACAATCCTTATTAGTGTTTCTATATAATAACAAATTTTTCTTAATTATGTTATTAACTTCTGTTAATTATTTTTATTTCATGAACTTTTATATTTTGTCTGTCACTATTGTGTGATTTTTATTACAGTATTAAAATTTTTTTTATCTATACTCTACACGTTGCGCAATAATAATTTTTAATTATTTATTTTTTACAATTTTTGAAAATTTAAACATTATATTTATTTTTTTTTGTTAATTTTTGTTTTCTTCTCCATCTTCATATTTTCATATTTTGATATCTTTATCTTCTGTTCTCTTTCTTTGTTTTCATATTTTTCAAAAAAAAATTCATCAGCTTTGTGTTCTTATTTCTTTTCTTTTTTTTTCATATTCCTCTTCATTGTCTTCAATTTCTATTATTTTTCATCTTTTTTAACATTTTCTGTTTTTGTATTTTGATTTTTTTTCTTCCTCCTATTTTTCCTCCTATTTTTTATTATTGTTGACTTTTTTTTAATTTTCGTCTTTTTTAACATTTTTTTCAATTTAATAATTTATCATTTTTTAAAAAAATATATATTTTTAATCCAGTTAGTATTATAATGTTTTTAATTATTAATATCTAATTATCATTTATTTTTATATATACTGTAATTCTTTTTATTTTATTTAATTTATACTAAATATATTGTTATCTTTTTTATTTGTTATTGAATATTATTTTTAGATTTGTGGTTTTTTTTGTTTTTTTAAGCTGTTTGAAACTTGTTTAACTTATTGTTTTATTTTTTGTTTTATAATTTTGTCATTTTCATTGAGATTAAATTATATTTGTTAATTCAAAAATAAATATTAAATCATACAAAGAATATTATTTTTGGTGTTATATATATTTATTGATATTTATATATTTAGAAGAGACTTATGCTGTGCCGCACAATTATAAACTATCAATGGTATTATTTTTTATATTTATTTTCTTACTCCTTATAATCTCTTATGTACATTGTTTTTTCCAAGTTTTTTCCATCTAAAACACCATTTAGCAATTATTTTTAACTTTCTCAAATAACCATTTTTATGTTTTTTTTTTCACATCAATATATACATATATATTATTGATTCCATCTTCTTTATCAATGTATTTAATTAATATTTTGTACATTTATTTGTTATCATATTTTTTTCTTTTGTTATTTTTATTATAATCTGAATCTTTTCAAGTTTTTTACTAAATATAATTTTTGGTGTTGTGATTTTTTTAAAAAAAATTTTGTTCTTTACATGTTTGAAACTTGTATAATCTATTTATTTTTATTTTTGGTGTTATATATATATATATATGTTTTTTTTTTGCATTAAGATTAAATTATTTTTGAAGATTCAATCACATGAAAAAAAAAATGAAAAGATGAACTTAACGGCGACGCAGATAGAAATATGATTGTCACGTGTCATTTTTCAATACCTCTATAACCAGTAGATCTCTCTCTCAAACAGGCAACATCCGGTAACCGGTCATCCTCTTCACTTCTCTCTCTCACAGTCAAAAGTTTCTGATATAAAGAAGGGAATCGAATCTCGTAATGGCGTTTCATTATAATTATCACATTTTCTTCTATAAAGCATAATAGTTAGCTAGGGTTTAGTGAGTTTTACTTTGGGTACAATGAAAAGGGCAGAAGGAGGAGGTGAACAAAAGGAAGTAGTTTCTCTTGAAACTCTCAGTAAGAAAATGGATGATTTTGCAAAAGCTAGAGACTGGGAGAAATTTCACAGCCCAAGGAATCTCCTCTTAGCGATGGTATCTATTTTACTCCGTTTTACTTTTATCTGTAAATCCCGAATTAGTCTCTTATATCTCTAAGGAAAAAAAATGATCACATGAAAATTGAAATGGGTCTTGGTTAAACTGATGATCTGATAAACAAAAAGGTGGCTTCTTTTGCTATAAAATCTTTTTTTTTTCCTTGCCATCTCATGGATCTTTGAGTTGATGTCCATGAAAATTTTCATCTTTTATTGGAACAATGGCTGATAAGCCACTTTCTCGAAAAAAAAGTATTGTATGTTTTTCAATTTCTGAGGAAAATCAATGCTTTCATCGGAAAAATTGTGGCTTTGTACCAACTTGGACTTGAATTGTAAATGGAAGACTGTGACACTGTGAAAACAAATCAATTTCGAATCTGCTAGAATGACCAGCGAGAAAAATGTGATTTTTTTTTTTTTGGGTGTTTCTTGAGTAGAGTTCAACTTTGATTGGCCAAGTCAACAGAGTTAGAAAGAGGTCAAAACATTTTGCCCTACAAACCAAGTCAACACTAATTTCTTATGTTTGTTACTTTAGAAATGAATCTAAATCGGAAATGCAGGTGGGTGAAGTGGGAGAGCTATCAGAGATATTCCAATGGAAAGGGGAAGTGGCAAGAGGACTTCCAGATTGGAAAGAAGAAGAGAAAGTGCATCTTGGAGAAGAGTTATCAGATGTGTTGCTGTATTTGGTGAGGCTTTCTGATGCGTGTGGGGTTGATTTAGGCAAAGCCGCTCTGCGCAAGCTCGAGCTCAATGCCATCAAGTACCCAGTCAAACAAACTGATCATTCAAGCAGCAATATCAACTTGAAAGAAGAAAATTAATGATATAAGAGTTGTCTCTTGCTTGTACAACGTTTCCATTGGTCTCTGTATTTGCTTTCCCTGTCTCTTGCACTGAACTTTTGTGTATTGATATAAGAGCTGACTTTTTTTTATATCATGAATTAGTAAGACTACATACATGATGACTGATGAACACATACATGTAATGTGAACACGTCTAGGCTACCTATACCATCCCCTCTAAACCTTTAATCTTTACTTCCCAAATACAGTTTGTACATCAATTCAAAACCGGGAAAGTATCTGCGATGAATGTCTCAATGTGTGGTTCCCTTGCTCTACAGGCTTGTGGCTCTGTTGATGATATTGCTCATGATTCAGCGGTATTTCCACTGCTTTGCGGTGTTAGTAGGGTCAGAACGTCCCTGATACGAAACCCATTGCCCCAGAAAGAAGCAAGGCATAGACCCATTATGGCCATTACTACCACAGAGCAAGCTGCTGGTACGGCTTGGCAACTACCAAGGAACTGGCTTGCAAGAAGACCGGCTAATGTGGAGCTTTGCATTCCCGTACAAAGGGAGATCGTCCGGCTAACTTCTTCTTCTTGCCTGGTGGAAAGATTACAACAACATAACTCAATTAAGTTTTCAAAGTTCAACGGATTTTGGAAAATGTTGAAGAAACACAGTAAGAAGATAGATGATGGTTTGTTACCGTAAGCCTGGGATCTTAGAGAACCAATACCCCAAAACAAATGCTACTGCGTGGAACGTAATAACCGGAAGAATCAATCTAATCCCTTCTGGTGAAAGAATCTGACTTCGGTTTATGGAAAGCGGGCTTCCAATACACAACGAAGTGCATACCATAGCAACAAACGGCATCACAGGTCGAAGAAGAGTGACAACGGGCTTTGCATAAGTATTCAACACAAGGCCAAGAGTGACTGGAACAAGCACCACCTACATATGGTACAACACGATGGACCTCAAAAGAGAAACGATGGATTGGTTCTTCTTCAATAATCGTATTGCTAAACCTTGTGTACCTGTAGTATGGACTTGGACATGGCAATTGCATCAACGGGAACAACAGATCCGATAAGAAGACCGCTTAGCAGTGGAGTAAACAGTACAGAGGCAATAGTAGTACAACTAGTGAGAAGAATGCTCATGGCAACATCTGCTTTGCTCAGAGAACTCGCGTAGCTAGATAATTGAGCCCCTGCCACACAACACGTGAGTACAAAACCAGCGTAGAAGGTACTCGGCATCCCAAAGGCCTTAGCAATTAAAACACCGAGGAGCGGTTTCAGAACGTACTGAGCAACAAACCCAACAGAGAGTGGCACTGGTCTGCAACCAAAAAATGAGTTTTAGGAATCTACTTAACTAAACTGCTGAAGAAACTGGTAAGAAGAATGATCGGTTACCTTTTGAATGCAAGAGCGAAATCTTCAACCGAAAGCTGGATTCCGATTGATAACATTATCCCTCCAAGAGCAGGTGCATACAGTTCTTTAGATACCCTGAAAACATTTAATCTGATATTCATCTTAAATCCCATTTCAAAGAAAACAAAAACTGAGTTAAAACGCCACAAACTTTATTGTTAATTCTCCTCAAACATATGTTCGTTCTAAGCTAAAGCACCAATCTTTTTAAGACAATATATGCATAAAGATATAACATACTCTATCAATTGTTCAATTAGTCATAAAGATTGCAAAAGAAGATTACAATCTTAGAAACAGATGTCTTCAACAAACGCATACAAGAAGCTGTGATTCTTCAAGATTAACAGTTAGAAGTGACAAAGGATAAGCTAGAGAGAGAGAATATGAGCAAACCAGGTGAAAGTCGATGGATAGGAGAGGGCAGCAACGGCGGTGAGAGCGACGACGAACGGAAGCAAAGCGGACAAAACCTGAGAAGAATCGGTCTTCTCCGGAGAATCGGTTCCTCCACGGAAAGATAACAGAGACATGTTCCCATCTCTCCACTGCAAACCCACTCTCCCCATAAACGGCGTCGTTGAGCACGCTACTTCGCCGACGCTTCTCCGCCGCAGTCTAAAGTCTAGAAATTTACTAAGATGCGATGAAGAATCGGTTGGAGAGAAGGAAGAACGAGAAGAGCGCAACTGACAATTAAAGCACCGCGATTTCGCGGGAAGATGAGAATCGGAAAGCGTCTGTTTGGGTATAGCCGGTGGTGAGAAAGAGAAAGAGGCGATTGAAGCCATTTCTTTTTTAATTTTCTGAAGAAAGATTTGATTTTGATGGTACAAAGTGGCGGAGAAGGCTGAAGCGCCACCGTGAAATGGCGCCGTGGACCGGCGAGGAAGGAGAATTGAGAGGGTGAGATTCCAAGTTTGAAGAAGCAAAAAGGGATAATATTGAAAAGAAAAAGAGAAAAGATTTGTTTAAGGTTTAGCTAAATTGACGGCTGAGATTGGTTGCCACTGATACTCACGGTTCGTGATCGTCGAAGTTTACCTTGGGATAAAAATAAATTTGAACTCTTTTGGAGTGTGTTGGTTTGTTGATTTGGGATGCAGAATTTGGGTGAAAGATTGTTGTTTGTTTGGGTCAAAAGACACATCTGCTTGGTAACTATTAGGTTAGAGTATATAACAAGTTTTGAAAGAGAGAGAGAGAGAGAAAGAGAAAGAGAGGAGCACACAAGTTTAGTGATGTCAATAAGACACCACGTACGTCTCTCTGAGACCGTTAAGTTGTAATTTTTCTAGAATCAATCAAGGTTTTCATGAGAAACAAAGAGTAAAAAGCCGTAGCTTCTATGAATCCACTAGAACGTTTAACATTTTCTCCAACATTGCTAGAATTCGATAATGCTTCAAGATTTCGATTAGGCGTTTTAGACGATACATATTAAATTGCTGCCCATTTAACTTTAACCATCAAAATTGCCTAGAAGAGTAATTTTCTGCCAACAATGATAGATATAAATTTACAATCATCATTTTTCAGAGAAAAAAAATGAAGCAATACTTGTATATAATTCTTTCAAAAAAAAAACTTTTAAATTAAACACTAAACTCTGTCGAATCTCTCTAAATCCATCAAAACACCCAATTTTTAGCCACTCAACAACCGGAACCATCCTAAATATTTTATTTTTTCACTTTCTTCACCATGAAAAACTTAACAAATCTCAAAATATTTAGCGGATTCATCTTATTTTGATATGGACCCTAAGTCACATAACCGTTCTAACCCTATTTTGACGCCCAAAACTGTGGTTTTTAATTATATTTCTTGTTTATTGATTTGAGAGAATCTTCAAAAAATTCTTATAATCTTGTTTTTTGTGATTAAATAGATTGTTTCTTATAGAGATGGATTGTTTTCCAATAAACCTTGAAATAATATTAATTATAAATAATAATTAAATATAATTAATGTAAAAAAGATAAAAGTATATTACTATAATATTTTAGAATTATTTCTGTATAATAATATTAAAAAATAAATATTATTGTATTTGAAAAGTGACATTGTATGATTTTCATATTTTGCAATCATAGTATTTAATCTAACTATACAAGTATGAAAGATCTAAAATTATAATGATACAAGAATATTTGATTGGACCATAAACTTTAACATTATTTCTCTATTAATAGTATAAATGTTTTTGAACCAAAAATATACAGTATAAGTGTTCTCTTAATTTTTTGTTCTTTGTTTATTATTTAGTATTATTTTCTTTAAGATTATTTTCTCATTTTACAGTTATTTTTTCCTTATATTCCCCTAATAGTTTCTCATTCTATTTTGTTTCCTTGTACGGTTGTACTGATGACTAATTGACTAATTGTTAACACACCAAACAAATTTCATTTAAAATTTAAAATTCCGTAGATTTTTTCCTATATATAGTTAATACCACAACTCTTACATGATACATAGAATTCCATTGTAATTGCGAGTTTATGTTCTTTATCAAAATGGGTTGGTTAGTGAAAGCTCTTGTTGCTTCAATACTCTTGTCTTTGGGTTTTGAAATAACAGAGTCAGCTCCTGAATCTGCTCTTGTCACCAAACTCCCTGGCTTCAACGGCAGTTTTCCATCTAAACACTATGCCGGGTAAGTTAAATCTATCTCCGTGCTTACAAAAAAATTTCATATTTCAGGCATTTAGATTCATCATTTTCTTCGTATATATTTTAACTTATCTAATGGAATTTGGTATGTGATCTAAGGTACGTGGCAATATATAAGGAGCGTAATAAGAATCTATGGTATTACTTTGTGGAATCAGAGAGAAATGCTTCAGGAGATCCAGTGGTGCTTTGGCTTAATGGTGGTCCAGGTTGCTCTAGCATGGATGGATTTATCTACGAGCACGGTAAGCTTTACATAACCTTTCTTATCTCAAAAGCGTAAGGTACCTGTGTAGGGATCGCGTTTTTGTTTAAGCCACTCTAAACGTCTTAAAAATAAATAAAAAAGAACTCGCTTTCTAATTTTTTTAAGAATTAGCTTTGTTTTAATTCAAGATTAGGTCGCAAATTTTAAGACTTCAAAATTTATTTGTATTTCATTAGCTTTTGGTTCCTCCATTTTCTTGTCATCTCAATAAGTTTGAAAATGAAATTGGTATTAGAATTTTCACATTTAACCCAAAAAGCTCTAACTTAATCTCTCTTTATTACCGCTTTCTAAAAACTTTCTGACTACGAAAAAGAGATTTGTGTCGATTTTAAAGAAAGAAGATAATATATATGAATGTATACAGAGCCGTGCCTGAGCACAAGTTAGTGAAGCATGCTTCAGGGCCAAAGAGAATAAATAAAATTTTGGGGCCAAAATTTTTAAAACTGAGTTAGCGCAGCTGGTATTGAGTGCGTGTTTTCTTCTTCTAATACGTAGGTTCGAATTCACAAGGCCTCATTTCTTTCTTTCTTTTTTAAAAAAGTCAGTCTTGTGGTTGTCCCACATCGACAAAACTAAATAATTTAGAAAGTAACTGCACTATAAATAAGAATTCACCTTATTACTAAAAATGCAAGAATAGTCATATTTTATATAAAATGCATTGATATTCAACTAGTTTTTTTTTGTTATAACATTTTTTAAAAAACGATTAAGGAGGCCAAATTATTTTTTTTTGCTTGGGCACGGCTCTTATGTATATCATCTAATTCGGTACTATTGCAGGTCCTTTCAATTTTGATCCAACGAAGACAAAATCACAACTTTTGCATCTCAATCGATTTAGTTGGTCTAAGGTGAAAGAAATAACAACGAGTTGATAAAGATAACACATAGTATTATTTTCTATTTATTGAATAATAAATTGTAAAATCTATTGAAATGTTTTATTTTTATTAATGGTCAGGTTTCTAACATCATATACCTTGACTCCCCAGTTGGTGTGGGGTACTCTTACTCGAAGGACAAGTCTGATTATAATACTAATGATACAAAAACCGCGTCTGATTCTTATGCATTCCTTGTCGAGGTGAAATAAGAATGTAAATAGGTTTTGAAACAATGTTGTTTGTCTTGTGTGTGCGATTCAAGAAACTTAACCATTAGATCAAATGTTCAACAGTGGTTCAAGATGTTTCCGGAGTTTCAGTCAAATCCACTCTTTATCTCAGGAGAATCATATGCCGGTATCTATGTGCCAACTCTTGCTTCCGAAGTTGTGAAAGGTCATTATCTATCTATCTTTTTAACATCAATTAACTACTTTAAAATGTTAGCAAAAAAACAAAAGGTGGTTTCAGATGTTTCACTTCATTTTCTTGTTCTGTTGTAGGAAATAAGAATGTAATGAGAACAAATAAAAGAAACAAAACAAGTAAGAATAATAAGAATGTGACAAAGCCGCTTATCAACTTAAAGGTACGAGTAATGGAATATAATAACTGAGTATCTGTTTCAAATTCAATGTCAGGGCTTTGGTTCTTGAATCTTAAATTAGACATATACATTGTATAGGGATATTTGGTGGGTAATGGAGTTACTGATCCAGTGTTTGATGGTAACGCTCTAGTCCCTTTCGCACATGGGATGGGACTCATATCTAATGAACTCTTTGAGGTTTGATTTTCTTGCTCAATTTCTTAATAACCATTCTTTCTTCCAAATGCTTTTATCTAATGTGTAAGAAAAATGGCAGGAGACTAAAGCCGAGTGCAAAGGACAGTATTTTAATGAGGCTATAAAAAGTGACAAATGCGCTCACTTTCTAGAGAAGGTGTCAGAGGGTTTAAGGGGTTTAAATGTATATAACATTCTAGAACCTTGCTACCATGAAACATCTACATCTTCATTTGACATCGGATCTCTTCCTTCGAGCTTCCATAAGTTGGGGGAAACAGAAAGGCCATTGCGAGTAAGAAAGAGGATGTTTGGACGTGCATGGCCCTTTGATGCTGTTGTGCGTCCAGGCATTGTCCCTAGTTGGCCTCAACTACTTGCTAACTCCACAGCTTCTTACTCGGCAGTTGCTTGTACTGTGAGTACTTAACGTCATGAGGCATCATCTTCCTCTAATATATGTTTTAATAAGTGATAGTTTTCGTTAAGTATTATCGTGATTGCCACTTGAAAACTACTTACTGAAATTATCAATTGTATACACATGAGTACATTTGGTTAATCTATTTTTATTAGGATCTTAGACATAGATATAATAATTTAAATAAAGTCGTAAAAAAGAGTATTTTGATCACTAGACACAAATGTTTGCTAGATTTGATAAATTTCTTCTCATATGTATCTCTCCGCTGCTTTAGAAAGTGAAAAGTTGGTATATGGATACAGGACGATAGAGTTGCAACGGCCTGGCTGAACGATCCAGCGGTGAGACAAGCGGTTCATGCTAAAAAGGTCTCTATATCATTCATCATACATTTCTCTTGTATTTATTAGAAAACATTTTGACATCTCTAAATTCTGTCTAAATTGATAGGAAACCGAGATTGGAAGATGGGTTTTGTGTACAGACCAAGTCGGTTACGCTCATGATGCTGGAAGCATGATCGAATACCATAGAAACCTCACACTTAGTGGCTATCGTGCTCTAATTTTCAGGTGCATTTATATTTACTTATATACATCAAGGGTAAAAATAAAACTAAAGAATATGTAGAGACTCTAGAGGTCACGGGTTTGATTTGTGTTGAGAAGGGTCTGCTCTCCTAATGAGAGTTAAATTACATGGTATAGGCCCCATCGTAAGGGGCAGTACAAGCTTACGGGTCCTGAACGTCCTAATCATAATAAAAGGAGACTAGGAAAATATAGAAAGCAAGGTGGCATGGTCAGTGGTATAGTTCGAGTGGTATAGAAGAGATGTCTAGTGAGTCAAAACCTAGGAATGAAACCCGCGAATCATCTTTGATTCTCTCTTGGCCAAGATATAGACACTTTAAGTGGCAAGAATATCCGGTTTCTACATGTTTCATTCATGGACTAGTTTCAAAATCTTCCTAGGTTACCAAAAAAAAAGTGTGTATAGTATATAATAAATAGTTTATAAACTCATGCAGCGGTGATCATGATATGTGTGTACCATATACTGGCTCTGAGGCATGGACTAAGTCAATGGGATACAAGGTGGTTGATGAATGGAGGCCATGGATGTCAAATGACCAAGTCGCCGGGTCATTTTTCTTTTCTATATATTCTATAACTCAAATTTTGATCAATTTGATTCTCAACTTACTGGTTTCTACATTTTGGTAATGCAGGTTTACGCAAGGGTATGACAACAATCTCACATTTTTAACCGTCAAGGCAAGAATCACTTGTTTTTTTTTGTTTTTTGTTCTTTGTATTATACAAATGAAAACGATGTTTGTGTTACACGATCTTGATATGAATGTTTTGCTTTACAGGGTTCAGGACACACCGTTCCAGAATATAAACCGCATGAAGCCTTGGATTTCTATAGCCGTTTTCTCGCAGGAGAAAAGATATAGATCCCTCAAGTTTCGTCTTCTCATTATCTTTTGTTATGTATTTCATGTCAAACATGTCTTCTTTGAGCTTAAAACACTTTAATAAACTTCAATTTTTTCTAGTGAAATCCTATTACAATGAAAATTGTCAGAGCTAGTGACAAGATATCTTTAGATCTAGTTTGGAATCAATTATAGTTTGGTTGGATTCGGTTCGGATTTTTGGGATCTAAAAAATAAAATTTATCCATTAAATTTAATTTTTGTTTAGTTTGACAATCAAAAATTATTATAAGAAAAAAAAAGTAATTAATTGATGAAAAACGACAGAGATTTGAATTTTAAATATATATTTGTTAGATAGTAATTATCCATTTGAATATTTTATTAATTACTTATAAGAGAAGTATATTACTTATAAGAGAAGTAAATTACTTATAAAAGAAGTATATTACTTGTAAGAGAAGTAACTTCATTTGCTGCTTCCTATAAATAGTGTTACTTCCTTTGTAATATGAAGTTAACGAAGATAGTAAAAACTTTTTCTTCTCATTCCACTAAACTCTCTCTCATATTATATAATATATTCAACACGTTATCAGCATGATCGACTCGTAATTCATTCATATATTTGGAGGTAAGATTTTATTTATGTTTAATCGAATTAAACTTTATATATTGTTTACGAAAACAGAAATATCTGCTATGTTTTTTTTGTTTATATATTATGGAAAGATAGGCTTTGCCTTCTCCGTTTACGTATTATTTCGGGATGACAGGCTCTGCCTTCTCCGACCAATGATTTAAATTTATGTTTAATTTATTTTTAAGTTTACGGGATGATAGGCTATGCCTTTCCCAAACCGATCGTTATGGTAGGCTATGCCTTCACGATCATATGATCATATGGTAGACTATGTCTCCTCAGATCATAATTATGGAGTTGAAGGTTAAACCTCCTCCTTGTTTATATTTATGGAGTGGTAGGTTATACCTCCTCCTCGTTTGATTTATGTAAATTTATTTATGGAGTAGTAGGTTATGCCTCCTCCTTATTTAATTTATGTTTATATGTTTAAATTTATTTATGGAGTAGAAGGTTAATCCTCCTCCTAATCTATATTTATGGAGTGATAGATTAAACCTCCTCCATGGCTACAAAATATTGGAGTGGAAGGTTAAACCTCCTCCATGATTACAAAATTTTTCAGCGATGATTTAAACCTCCTCCATGATCAGAAAATGATGGAGTGGAAGGTTAGTCCTCCTCCGTATTTATATTTATGGAGTGGAAGATTAAATCTCCTCCCTACTAATATTATGGAGTAGAAGGCTATGCCTCCTCCTTGATCATATATTTATGGAATATAATGGTTAAACTTCTTCTGTGATCATAAAATTATGGAGTTGATGGTTTAATCCTCCTCCTTAATCAAATTTTATGGAGTGGAAGGTTAACTCTTCTCCATGAACACAAAATTATGGAGTGGAAGGTTATGTCTCCTCCTTATTTTATAGTAGGCTTGACGTCGTCAAAATCTATAGAAGCTATACCAGGTATGTTATTATTATGAATTAATATGTTTAACTATCTGATATATTTTATCGATTATAATATGGGTTAAAGACATCGAAATATGTTTTTAAAATTGAAAACTTCCGGAAGAGCTAAAAAGCTCTAAAAACTAAAGGCTCTAGAAGAGCTAATTTTTTTGAAATTTCCGGAAAAGCTAAAAACTCCGTAAGAGCTAGAAGCTCCGGAAGAGCTAAAAGCCCCGTAAGAGCTAGAAGCTCCGGAATAGCTAAAAGCCCCATAAGAGCTAAAAGCTACGGAAGAGCTAAAAGCCCCGTAAGAGCTATAAGCTCCGGAATAGCTAAAAGCCCCGTAAGAGCTATAAGCTCCGGAATAGCTAAAAGCCCCGTAAGAGCTAAAAGCTCCGGATGAACTAAAAGCTCTGGAAGAGCTAGAAGCTCCGTAAGAGAAAAATGCTCCACAAGAGCACACGATGATGACATGCATATATGTGATAATAAATAAAAAAGATGGCAAAGGTATATACCATAGTAAACCTGAAGTTTACTAATTGAATAAACCGGTTAAGCCATCCCGGTAATTCCAATGATATAAGATCATTGAGAATATATAATACATGTTGAAAAACCAAATGCTTTTTCAACTATATATTGCATGTCATAAAGAAAGAAAAAAAAATGAAGCCATCGTGAAAAGCATACATGGATGGATCACCATTTCTTTTGGTTTACAGCTCATCGAATATGAAGTTGGTCATAGAGTGGGATTCAATTCGAGATGGATAAAACTTGAAAGTGTCATCATCTCGAGGGGGAGAATTAAAGAATCCCACATCAAGTGTAAGCTGAACATCCAGAAGATTATGTTCGCACTTGAAATGAGCTTAAAATAAAGCAAATCCAAGAGATTGCAAAACCAATTATGGTGATCTCCATGTGGTGACATAAAATATGCAGTATGGCATATAGAAACAGCTGATGGATCCTCATATGAACCCGAAGTTCATATTGAGTGAAAAACAAAATCTCATATCCTAGCTGAGCTCCACTAAAAATAGATGTCCATGAAGGACGGTTTATTTGCGTCTATAACACGTAAGAAAAATGTGATAGACTACTTTGGTTCCAAATCCTCAAAAGAAAAGGAACAAAAGAGGATTAATCTCCTAAAGAGATTATTGACATGGTTAATGATATAATCAGGTACCTGAATGAAATCGATGATAAGATATCTCGATTCACCATGTCATTATAAAAAGTGGAACCAAAGATTAACCTCTAGAGGAATTAATCCCTAAAAGATTATATTGGAATTCTGTTCCCGGGAACACTACTCGATTGAAATAAAGAATGATGATCATCAAAACTCCTGAAAAGTTTTCTCGAGTAGTATAAATAAAGGGGTTATTCCAGAGGTGATATCTTGAACCGGTAACTGGAGATATATTTACGGCATGTTTTGCCAATTGCCACTTTGATGAAAATGAATTTCTTGCGTTGAGGGGGATGATCTTGAGAATCACCAAAAGATAGCACAAAAGTGTATATAAACTTTGGCTTATCTCGATCCTCCTACCAATAAATGTGAGGTAGAGTTCATAAAATCATACATTTGCAAAGGTTGGCAAACCAGTTACCTGATGCGTTCACAGATACGAGAAGAGTGACAAAATCATATATCCCCGCTGCTAATGCTCCATCAAAAATAAATGTTCCGGAACTAGTTATTAATGGGAATAAAGCAAATGAACCGCGGGTTCAGTTAAAGCACGGGAGGCCGATGGGCTCGAAGGATAAAAATCCTCGAAAGAAAAAGAAATTGGGAGACAAGGTTCTAGAAGAACCGAATAAAGATAAATGTCTTGAAGACATTGGTGAAAAGGTTATAGAAGAACCATATAAAGATATATGTCCTGAAGACATACATGAAGAGGTTCCAGAAGAACCAATTAAAGAAGTTCGTCTCGAAACGAACATGATACTGAAAAGTATGAGATTTCCATTAACTTCGCCCAAATTGGGACATTATGGGCTAGAAGTGAGATAAATGATACAAATGGTATGTTCTCCTTTTCAGTATCCAAAGAAATTGAAAATGAAAATGATGATCCAGACCCAAGGTCCGTGTCAGAGTGCCAGAAAATGTCTGACTGGGAGAAATGGCAGATTGCCATGAAAAATGAATTGATCTCCCTGAATAAAAGAAATGTCTTTGGACCTATAGTCATTACACCAGAAGATGTAATGCCAGTCGGGTGAAAATGGGTTTTTGTGAGAAAAAGAAATGAAAAAAACGAGGTCACACGATATAAAGCCCGACTTGTGGCACAAGGTTTTTCTCAAAGACCAGGAATTGATGATGAAGATACAAATTCCCCGGTCATGGATGCAATCACATTCAGGTACTTAATAAGCCTAACGACATCTAAAAATCTAGAAATGTACATTATGGATGTTGTGACTGCATATTTATATGGATCACTTGATAATGATATATATATATGAAAATTCCAGAGGGAGTAAAGATCCCAGAAGGACCAAAGATGCCTGAAGCATCTAAAGACATATGTTCGGTCAAATTACAGCGATCACTTTACGGATTAAAACAATCTGGACGCATGTGGTATAATCGCTTAAGTGAATATTTGTTGAGTAAAGGATACATCAACAATGCGATATGCCCTTGCGTATTTATTAAGAAATCCTCGTCAGGATTTGTGATCATTGCTGTATATGTTGATGACCTGAACATAATCGAAACTCAAAAGGAGATTGATGATGCACGAACTCACATGAAAGAAGAGTTCGAAATGAAAGATCTTGGAAAGACAAAATTTTGTCTAGGGCTCCAGATTGAGCATTTCCAAGATGGAATATTTGTGCATCAATCAAATTACACCAAAAGGGTGTTAAAACGCTTTAAAATGGATAAAGCAACTCCTTTGAGTACTCCAATGGTCAATAGATCACTTGATATTAACAAAGATCCGTTTCGACCTTGTGAAGATAACGAAAATGTATTAGGTCCTGAAGTACCTTATATGAGCGCTATCAGTGGGCTTATGTATCTTGCAAATTGTACTCGACCAGATATAGCCTTTGCTACTAATCTACTTGCAAGATACAGCTCATCTCCTACGCGCAGACATTGGAATGGGATAAAACATATTTTTCGTTATCTCCAAGGTACGATTGATCTGGGTTTATTTTATCATAGAAACCCCGAAGTTGGTCTAGTTGGTTTTGCAGATGCAGGATATTTATCAGATCCGCATAAAGCTCGAACGCAAACTGGATATGTTTTCACAATTGGTGGAACGGCGATCTCATGGCGTTCTCAAAAACAGACTTTGGCCGCCACTTCTTCAAATTATGCGGAAATCATTGCTCTTCATGAAGCATGTAGAGAATGCATATGGCTCAGATCCATGACTCAACATATACAAGGTGCAAGTGGAATAGTCATCGATACGGAACCAACAAAAGTATTTGAAGATAATGCTGCATGTGTCGCTCAACTAAAAGAAGGCTATATCAAGAGTGACCGAACGAAACATATTCCTCCAAGATTTTTCTCTTATACGCAAGAGCTCAAGAAGAATCAAGAAGTCGATATCTAATATGTTCGTTTATGTGAAAATGCGGCGGACCTCTTTACAAAGGCGCTTCCTACTACAGTATTCAGAAAGCATATTCAAAGTATCGGAATACGTCATTTGCGGGATTTATGAAGAGAACGTTATTCCATCATTTCAAGGGGAGATTACGTTACTATACTCTTTTTCCCTTGTCCTGGTTTTTATCCCATTGGGTTTTTCCATGATAAGGTTTTTAATGAGGTAGTACGTAATGATGGATAATTAAGAGAGAGTGTTAGATAGTAATTATCCATTTGAATATTTTATTAATTACTTATAAGAGAAGTATATTACTTATAAAAGAAGTATATTACTTATAAAAGAAGTAATTTCATTTGCTGCTCCCTATAAATAGTATTACTTCCTTTGTAATATGAAGTTAACGAATATAGTAAAAACTTCTTCTTCTCATTCTACTAAACTCTTTCTCATATTATATAATATATTTAACAATATTTAATTAAAATATTAGGTATTTTCTCGATTGAAGTCAATTCCAATTTTTCCTACTCAATCTTTTTTATAGAAATAGCACTCGATCGGTCAGTTTGGTTCGATTTGAGATCAGAATTTGGTATAGTAATTTTTTTTTTCCGAACAACATTTTTCCAAACATGATGAGATCAGAATTGAGCCTTCCTTAATTCGGTTCAGTCGAATTGGCTAATTCGGTTCGGAAAATTTTCCCACCGCGAAAAAGAACCAAAAAACCTGAACAGTCTTCGTTATCGCCATTTCGATGCTACCCAAAATGCAAAGGCGCTTCCTTTCATCGGTTTCCGTTTCCGCCGGCGGTAGTAAAACCCTAAATAATGGAAGATGGAGTGTTAAGCAAGTGAAAAAATCCAACTTCAAATCCACTCTAGATGAGATTCGCACTTCAATCGACTCATCGGACTTCGTAGCTCTCTCCCTACAAAACACCGGCTCCTACGCCGCCGCGTGGCACCGTATCTCCGCCATTGATACGCCGCAGATGAGCTACTTGAAAGCTAAATACGCCGCCGAACGCTACCAGATCCTCCAGTTCGCTCTCTGTCCTTTCTCCCTTCGCGGCTCCAAGCTCACCGTTCACCCGTAAGCCAAGTCAAATTAATCTCTTCTCGAGTTTCTTCTTCTTTGACGCAAATTTGATTGATTAGGGTTTTTTGTAGATACAACTTCCATTTGTTTCCTCGAGATGAATTGAAGCTAGGGATGCCTTCTTATAGCTTCTCTTGTCAAGCCTCTCGTTTAACAGCCATGGCTAGAGAAGGATTTGATTTCAACGCCTGCATCTACGAAGGTTTATTGCTTTTCTCCGTCTCCTCTCATTCCCTCTCATTTCTTTCATAATATGGTCACTAATTGTAGTTTTACAGGAATTTCATACTTATCAAGAGAACAAGAGTCTGCGTCGAAGTTTCTCTCCGGGAATCCGATATTAGCTGAACCCGTTGCTGCACCGTCTTCTCCGTCTACTGTAGCTGATACCGTCTTTGTAGGAAGGATTAGGTCACGCGTCAAAAACTGGAGACAATCTTGTTTAGATTCGAGCTCAAAGACAGGAGATGGTGCATTTGCGAGTGTTAGACAATTTCAATATGAATCTCTTTGGCCTTTCGGTTTTCTAGCTTGATTTTTAATATGATGCATCTGTTTTTGTGTTAAATTTCCAGATGATTTGGTGAGTTCTCTGAGGAAACTGGTCTTGGGGAGTGAGCAGTATGGTTCGAGGCTTTGCTTGACTATTGATGTTTGTAGCGAGCGTCAAGTGCAACTCATCCTAGAGGTAGACAAGGCTTAGTTGATAGATAACTGTAGTTTGTACATTGGTGATTAGTTTTGATAAGCTTTTATATTTGTCACCACACAGATGTTGACCGAATTCGCTGATGATGTTGTCCCTCTACTCATCGCTTCAAAGAGTGGAGGAACACAAGCAGTTCGTGCTGTCTTTATGAGTTCGAAGGAAGACATGGATAGATTTAAGGTAGGAAGCTTAATTAATTACTTCCTTAGCAGGAAATACGCATAATGGTGAAGGTCTCTCTTAATCTGGATTTATGTCCTTGGACAGAGAGAGCTTCAAGATCTTGAAAACGAAGAGAACAGGCGACTTCGTGGCTTCCGAGAAGTGGTCGATTTGATCTCTTCTTCACAGAAACCTGTTGTCTCCCAGAACTATCTAAGCGGTTATTTTCGAATCACCCTCCTTAGTTTGCACATACATAAGCTGTTCTCCATGGATCAAAATCTTATGCTTGACCTGTTGCAGATTTTACTTCCATTCATGCCAAATTCCTTGGTCCTCTACCTTCAAATGTGGATGACTTCAGCAGTTCACTGAGCTCAGCTTTTCCCAATGTTGTGGATCTCAGTCAATTCATGAAAGAAATTAGTCCCTTGAGTAATATAAGTAATCTACCTGCAGCTATGTCTTCCTTGAATCGGTTCTTTGCACCTGTGGATGTGGAAGTGGCAAATCAAGGTCAGAATTCTCTTTCAAAGATGTTTTTTTTTTCCGCTTTGTGCGTTAAGCATGGATATTGACGTTAATGGCTTTCTCTTATTAGGCTGTCCGATCAAATTAGACGAGAGTCATCAGATGCACGGGCAAAATGCTGTTATGATATCTCAGCTTTTTGCCAAACTAAGTACCATACAGAAATCAGATTATCAATCCTCTGTCCAACCATCTGAAGATTCCTATGCTTTGGCTTCTGATCAACATGCAAGCGATGAAAATGTTCAAGTCTGGTCAAAGAACAGCCGAAGAGTAAGCTCTGAGAACTTGGTGTTCATATGGGGATTGGCGAAAAAGATGACAGCTTCAACGCTGAAGAACGTTCTGCAAAAGTCACACAACGTTTTTGCGCAAGAGTTTGATGTTAAGTTATTAGACAGGAGCTGTGCAGTTGTGGTCTTTTGGCAGCCGAGTTCATCGGAGACTTTCCTCAGTGCGGTTAACAATGAAGATCAGCTTCTTGGTGGTTCGTTAAGAGTGATGGTTGCAGAAGGGCTAAGAGCAGCAGGTTATGAGACTTACAAGAGAGCATGTAGATTAGGTTTCTGGGAGGCTGACTTGGCGGATTCTTTAGACAAAACATTGGAATCTTCAGACACGGATCTTGATTCAGACACCAAACCTTCAGAGATTAGTTGGACGAGCGAATTGGCTATTAATTTTGATGAGTTATGAATAGTCACAAGTTTTTGTATTTTTTTTCGGCACATGAATACATTCATATTTAACACCAGCATCAAGCAAACGAACAAGGAACTTGTACGGCTCATAAAATCGAGTTTGTGTTGTGTCTTTTTTGTGCTTCGGTAGGGAAAACGGCCACTTATTATCTCAATTGTTCCAAATGGTGCAGATTCATACCTGATAAATTTGATTGTCCATATTTATACCTGAATTTTTTAAAACCGGACAATTCATACTTGTACTATCTGTTTTTTGGCGAATACCTATATTGACCCGTTTCCTGTTAGTCAATGCTCTCATTCCGTTAACAGAGAAGAATCATGTGCCACGTCAATGTGCCGAGAAGAATCATGTGCCACGTCAATGTGCCGAGAAGAATCATGTGCCACGTCAACTGTACTGTTGGCACCGGAACTTAAAACAACATCGTTTTAAGTATTTGAGAATAAAAAAAATTGTTCAAAACGACGTAATATTGATTTTTAAAAACAAAAAAAATTATCAAAACGATGCCGTTTTGACTAGTGAGAACAAAAAAGAAATTAAAAGAAATTACTAAAACGATGTTGTTTTGATTAATGAGAAAACAAGGCAATACGACGTCATTTAATTTATGAGAACAAAAAAAATTAGCTTCTTGTTCGACATAGTCTTTCGTCGATTTGGAATTAGAGAAGAGAGCTCGTTTTCGAGATTCATAGAGATTCTTGAAATTTTCATGCTTAAACTCGACCCTGAAGTTTCCCCAATAAAATTCATTAAGTTATGAACCAAAATTTACCTGAATTCTCGATTTATGACCTGATGAGATGTATTTCGAGAGGATTATTACCTAAATTCGCTGAGAAAGCATTGTGATTCAATAATGTTACTCATTTTGCTTTGTCTTTGTTATTATCGTTAAACTTTAGCTGTTTTTCCCTAATTTTGTCTGGTCAAGTTTGGGGAAGAAGAAGATTTCATTCTTTATATTTTTTTTAACAACGACGTTGTTTTACTTTTTTTTTATGTTGTTTTACGTTTTAATCTCTGGTGCTAACAGTGCAGTCTATGTGGTACGGGACTACGGTCTGTTAACAGAATAGAGTCATTGACTAACGAGAAATAGATCAATATCTTTATCCGCTAAAATTTTATTAGTATAAGTATGAATTATCCGGGTTTAAGGAGTTCAGTTATGAATTCGGACAGTCAAATTTGTCAGGTATGAATCTGCACCATTTAGAACAGTTGTTGAAGTAGCAATTGGTCAAAAATCTTGACAAACGTAGAACGAGGGGTAAGAAATTAAACCAAACCGAAATATTGGTTTTGCCATCGTTACTTACTCGTGAAATTAAGCTTCAATGTATAATTTCAATAACCTTAATCGGTTCAAATCGGTTTATAAACTTATAACTTTGGTTTGGATCAAGGTAAACGAATTTATCGGTTCTTAATTATTCATACACGATCTATTGATCTTTACAAAAAAAACTCATGAAGTATATTAATTTTTGGATTCACTACGTGAACTTGTGTGATTTGGTCAATTCCACTATAACCGAAAACGGTATGATTTAGCTTACAAGTGGAATACCGGTTTGGTCTGGTTTAGAATTTGGTCGATTTTTTTTTAATTAGATTGATCAGAACGAAACGATGTCTTAGTTTGACAAAACACATCGTTTTGTATTCTGGATCATGCTCGACCTTGTCTCTCGCGATTAGCCTGTTAACATCGCCGGCGAAAAGAAAATTTGATGGTTCCAACGGTGGCTAAAGTTTCGGCCTCCGCCTCGGTACTTCTCCGCCGTAAATCTAGGCATCTTTGGTCGTTAGCCTCCTCGCCTCTCTATTCAAGCTTTAATTCCATCCCTCGCCCTATCAGGTACCTACTAGTTCTCCATCTAAAGTATTTGAGCTCGACTATGAGCTTTAATGGTGATTCGGAGTTCGATTCATTTTCAATCCCGTTTCATGATCACCTCTGAGTTAAAAGAACTGATTTAAAATCGTTTCTCTTCACTGTGCTTATGGATTCAAATACTTGCAGCTACTACTGCATAAGAAAATGCACATTAATTGAATCTTAGCTTCACATTCCTCTACGCAGATTGTTTGAAATTTATGATGATTCTTGTAATTGTTTATTTTAGTTGAATCATAGGAGGTTAGATCTAATATTTGTTGGCAGTGCAAAATTTCTGTAAACAAAATTTATGTAAATGACATTACAAGACTAAAAAAATCCGATTTTTTGTGTTGTAATTGTCATGAATTTCTGCAAGCCCTTTCCCTCTTAGGCTCATTTTTCTTCTGTGCAGATTGTATTCTATTTCTCAGAGAAGATTTAGATTATTTACACAGAGATTAACTGATAATGTAGTAGCACTGGTAATCTTTTGTGCAAGGTTTTGCAAAAGGAGTCTTGTAAAAGACCTTTGTGGTGGAACGTTGGATACTCAAGATCCTCTTGGTTTCATTCGACTCCAGCTCGCGAGACCGTTGATTGCGTTACCAAATCTGAGAACAGTTTGAGCCAAGATGGAACCAAACCGAAGAGGAAAAAGCTCAAAGGTAAGCGTGCGGTTGTGCGGTGGCTGAAGTTTTTCCGGTGGAAGAAAAAGAAAGAGGTTGAGAGAATGACTGCTGAAGAAAAGATACTCAACAAACTGAGAAAGGTTTGCTATAGAGAAAAAATCGCATCTTGCTTACTGTTTCAGACCAGAAAATGCTTATGATGTTCGTGTTTTCGATATGTTTTTATCTGAACAGGCTCGTAAGAAAGAGGAACGGCTTATGGAGACGATGAAGAAACTGGAACCATCAGAGTCATCGGAAACGATGCACGACCCTGAGATATTGACACCTGAGGAGCATTTTCATTACCTGAAAATGGGTTTAAAGTGCAAGAACTATGTTCCGGTGGGGAGACGAGGAATATACCAAGGAGTGATTTTGAACATGCACCTTCACTGGAAGAAGCATCAGACGCTACAGGTTGTGATCAAAACGTTCACGCCTGAGGAAGTGAATGAGATCGCTGTTGAGCTAGCGAGGTTGACAGGAGGGATCGTGCTTGATGTCCATGAAGGGAACACGATAATTATGTACAGAGGGAAGAACTATGTTCAGCCTCCTACTGAGATCATGTCGCCGAGGATTACTCTCCCGAGGAAAAAGGCTTTGGACAAATCCAAGTGCCGTGATGCGCTACGCGCGGTTAGAAAGTATATTCCGAGGCTTGAACAAGAGCTTCAGTTGCTTCAAGCACAAGCTGAGACGAAGCAAGATTACCCGAATGTAGCCAAGGTTGATGATGGTGAGACTCAAGACAGGTCTGAAGAGTTGAAGAAGATTATAGAAAGAAGCCAAGAGTGTTTGGAGGATGAGCAAGAAGAAGAAGATGCCGAGTCAGATTTGGCGACGGATTCAGATCTGTCGGATATCTTTGAGACTGATTCCGAACCAGAAAATGAGAAGGCAGGGCGGCCGCTTTTTCTTGAAGAGTTTGAGAAATTCCCAGCAAGAAACAACATAGAAGAAGAAGAAGATGATGATGAAGACTTTTGTGATCCAGGGAAGGCTAAATCAGGAGATGAGAAAGATGGGTCTCCAGGCTTTGATGAAGTGGATAAGATGTTTCTTCGGGCTGCTTCGCTTTTAAAGAAGAAAAGAGGATGAAGAATCCCCAGAAGATTCTTGCTTTCATCATCTTAGCTCATCTCACAATTGGTACAAGTGAAAATGGTGCGTTTAACAAAGTCACAAGTATATCTTCTCTCTTAATATGCTCAAGCTTTGATTTTGTGTTAGCAACTGTGGTTATGAGAACTGGAGAAGTATGCATGCTTCTTTTCTAAAGTTTTTATATGTGTGAAACGTAAAGCTCCAAAAAGTAAGGCGAAGTTATTTTTCTTAAATTATTTCGAAATAATATTAATTATAGCACTAATCTTTATTGTCAGTTTTAGGAAATAATTAATCTAAAACTGTTGTGAAAACTTAGAAACTTTATTAATCACTGGAAAATGTATATATAGAGTACATAGGGAATTTAGGTTAAGTACAATGCCCTGATGGGCCTAATGGGCCGGTATAAGAGTTCATATATGATATGTGTTATAACACTCCTCCTTGGACGAGTGAACCGGGCCAGCTACTCAATCGGGATCTCGATAATGCGCTGGGGAATGTTGCCTCATTAAAACCTTACCAGGAAAAACCCAGTGGGACAAAACCATGGTGAAGGAAAAAGAGTACAACACGCATTACTCCCCCTGATTGTAGCATCACTGCAGATCTCTAAGTCTATACATTCCTATCTGTTTGACGAGCTTCCGGTGTGTTGAAGTAGGCAATGATTTGGTGAAGAGGTCAGCTGAATTCTCACTGGATCGGACCTGCTGAACGCTGAGAGTGCCGTCCTTCTGCCAGTCTGAGGTTGAGAAGAACTTCGGTAGAATGTGCTTCGTCCGATCTCCTTTGATATATCCTTCCTTGAGCTGAGCTATGCATGCCGCGTTGTCTTCATACATCACCGTGGGCTGTGTGTCTTCGTCCATACCACAATCTCTGCGGATGTGCTGAGTCATGGAGCGCAGCCAGACGCATTCCCTACTAGCCTCATGAATGGCTAGGATTTCAGCATGGTTTGATGAAGTGGCAGTGAGTGTCTGCTTCATTGATCTCCAAGAGATGGCTGTTCCTCCATGCGTAAAAACGTAGCCAGTTTGAGACTTGGCAGTGTGCGGATCTGATAGATATCCTGCATCGGCGAAGCCGACTAACCCATCTTTATTTTTGTTAGTATAGAAGAGTCCTAAGTCTTGAGTACCTCGAAGGTATCTTAGGAGATGTTTTATACCGTTCCAGTGCCTCTGAGTTGGGGATGAACTATATCGAGCGAGGAGGTTCACGGCGAAACATATGTCTGGTCTAGTGTGACTAGCCAGGTACATTAACGCTCCTACAGCACTGAGGTACGGCTTTTCAGGACCAAGGATTTCTTCATCATCCTTTTTGGGACTAAGAGGGTCATCACTTAAGCTTTTAACTACCATTGGGCTGATCAATGGGTGAGCTTGGTCCATATTAAATCGCTTGAGTACCTTTTCGATATAAGCCGATTGATGCACAAGGATTCCTCCTTTGATGTACTCAAGTTGTAATCCCAAACAGTACTTGTTTTGCCTAGGTCTTTCATTTCGAATTCTGCTTTTAAGCAGTCGACTGTTTGGGAGATCTCACCAGATGTTCCGAGGATGTTTAGATCATCCACGTATACTGCTATGATTACAAATCCTTTGTTTGAGTACTTCTTGATGAAGATGCATGGACTGATGGAGTCATTTTTGTAGCCTTCTTTGATGAGGTAATCGCTGAGGCGGTTGTACCACATACGCCCACTTTGTTTCAGTCCATACAAGGATTTGTTCAGCCTGATGCAGTATTGATCTCGAGATGCATTTTTGTCTTTTAGTTCAATGCCATCTGGGAGTCTCATATATATTTCGTTGTCCAGGGGCCCATAGAGATATGCGGTTACAACATCCATTAACCGCAGATCAAGATTTTCTCTTATGGCCAGACTTATGAGGAATCGGAATGTTGTTGCATCCACCACTGGAGAATAAGTCTCCTCATAATCGATTCCGGGTCTCTGTGAGAATCCTTGTGCTACAAGCCGTGCTTTGTATCGAACGACTTCACCGAGTTCGTTCCTTTTGCGCACAAAGACCCATTTGTGGCCCACTGGCTTGATGTGTGATGGGGTCCGGATGATCGGACCGAACACGTTTCTGAGTTTGAGACTCTTTAACTCCACGTTTATGGCTTCTTTCCATTTTAGCCAATCTGTTCGATGTGTACACTGTGTTATTGACGTGGGTTCTAGATCCTCTTGCGTGAGCGCAACATCAAGTGCTACTTTGTATGCAAAGAGTGCATTTAAGTCGACTTCTTTTCGATTCCATTGTATTCCGGACATATTGTAATTGATGGAGATCTCATTGTTATCTTCTGAACCTGGAGATTCGGCGTCCCGAACTTCCATTGAGGGTTCATTAGATTGAGTCTCAGCCACGGCTATGTCTGATATTGCAGGAATCCCGGTTTCGGTTATTGCACCTTTCTTTGATTTCCGGGGATTCTTATCTTTGGAACCGAGAGGTCTGCCCCGTTTGAGACGTGGTGCAGACTCTGTAGCAACTTGGGTCTGTCCCGTTGGGACGGCTATTCGTACTGGTGCATTACAAGCTGGGATGTACGATTTGGTTACTTTGGTCGGGTCAGCAAAGGAATCTGGCAATTGATTAGCTAGCTTTTGATAATGAATAATCTTTTGGATCTCTGAATCACATTCTAGAGTCCGAGGATCTTGCCAATTTAATGATGTTTGATTCCATGAAAGATCTTTGACCAGCTTGTTTGTCTCACCACCTAAAGAGGGATATACTGATTCATCGAATTGGCAATCCGCATATCTGGCCTTGAAGAGATCTCCAGTGGTTGGCTCGAGATATCTTATGATGGTGGGAGAGTCAAAACCAACATATATTCCCATCCTTCTTTGAGGTCCCATTTTGGTTCGATGTGGTGGAGCAATGGGTACATATACTGAACACCCAAATGTTTTGAGATGGGAGATGTCTGGCTCATGACCCGAGAGTAGTTGGGATGGGGAATATTTGTGTTCACTAGATGGCCGGATGCGTATGAGTTCAGCAGCATGTAATACTGCATGTCCCCATGCTGAGGCCGGGAGCTTTGATCTCATGAGTAATGGTCGGGCTATCCATTGAATGCGTTTAATGAATGATTCAGCCAATCCATTTTGAGTATGGACATGTGCTACAGGATGTTCCACGGTTACCCCCATGGCCATACAGTAGTCATTAAACGCTTGTGAGGTAAATTCACCAGCATTGTCAAGGCGGATAGTCTTTAGTGGGAAGTCAGGGAAATGGGCCCGCAATTTGATGATTTGGGCCAAGAACCTAGCGAAGGCTTGGTTCCGAGAGGACAAGAGACAAACATATGACCAACGGGTCGATGCGTCTATAAGGACCATGAAGTACCGGAATGGTCCGGAAGATGGATGTATAGGTCCACAGATATCGCCCTGGATTCTTTCTAGGAAATGAAGTGTTTGTTTAGAGATTTTAACTGGTGAAGGCCGAGTGATCAATTTGCTTTGAGAACAAGCTGTGCACATGAGGTGTTGAGGATAAGCTCGGTTTTCTTTGAGGGTATGCCCTTGAGAGTTTTGAATTAGTTTACGCATCATATTTGCACCGGGATGACCGAGCCGGTCGTGCCAAATAGTATAATCAGTAAACCGGGCTTTGAGAGTGGTATTAGCTTCAATCATACTGACTTTAGCATGGTAAAGTCCAGTAGAGAGCGCGGGTATGGTTTCGAGGATTTGTTTATGGCCGTCTACGGTTTTAGTGACTAGGAGGGATTCTTTGTTCCCTTGACCTTGGGTTTCTATGTGGAAACCATTCTGTCTTATATCCTTGAAGCTCAGAACATTTCTCTTCGAACTAGGAGAATATAGAGCATCTGGTATTTCAAGTTGTGTGCCATTTGATAGCAACACATAAGCATGGCCATATCCTTCGATAAGGTTTGAGGGACCCGCGATGGTGCTAATATTTGCGGTTTGATAGGTTAGGTTTATGAAGTAACTTTTGTTTCTTAAGATAGTGTGGCTGGATCCACTATCTACGACTATGGTTTCCATTTGCTGGTGTGCTTCATTATGAATAGAAGATAGAATTCGGTATTGAGGAATTCAGAAAATGTGATAAATCATAAAGTAAAGCAGTGTCTGAGAATAAAGGCAAATGGAAAAAAAAAAAAAATGAAACAAATCCCAAAATGAAAAAAAAAATAAAGAACAAAATCAAATTGTATCAGAGTTTCAGATGATTGAATTAATCGAGGAGATCAGCTGTTTCATAGTCCATGGGGTCGGTCTGCTCGTTTGTGGTGTTCTCATCATCAAGGAGGTCGTCACCTTCCAGGTTAGCAGCATCGACTGGCTGAGTCATGTTGGCTTCAGCAGGAGCTTTTCCGTACTTCTGGTATAGATCGCAGTGGATCTTGGGGGTGCGACATTGCTTTGTTGGGTGGTTGAACATCCCACATCTGGTACAAGCAGAGTGATCGGGGTTGGTGTGGCGGGTCGGCTTGGTGATGCCTCGACCACGACCAGGAACATAACTGAGGTTAGGTCGGTTGCCACGACCATGTCCGCGTCCACGTCTTCCACGTCCATGTCCTCGGCCATTACCACGTCCATTACCACGTCCACGGCGGTGATCTGAGGATCTATCGGGTTGAACATGGTAGGACTCTTGACGAGAAGCTGGGACAGGAGCCGATCCCGGGGGCCTCATAGCGCTGTTCCTCATAAGCAGCTGGTTATTCTTCTCAGCGAGGAGAAGACAGGACAACAAGTCTTCGTACAATGTGTGTTTCATTGCACGGTATTGTTGTTGGAGCACAACATTCTCTGTGCTGAATGTGGATAATGTTTTCTCGAGGAAATCATTATCTGTCACATTCTCGCCACAGAGTTTCCGGATGGCAACAATACGAAAGAGTTCGTTGTTGTAATCATCTACGGATTTGTAGTCCTGGAACCGAAGGTTCTTCCAGTCGAAATCTGCCTGAGGCAACTGGACCATTTTCTGATGGTCATATCGCTTTTTCAGCGCTTGCCACAATTCAAGTGGATTCTCAAGAGTGAGATATTGCTGCTTAAGGCTCGGGGCCAGATGATGGCGTATGTGACATATCGCCTGAGACTGTCCCTTACGGGATGCGGTGTTACCGTCGGTAATACATGCATCGAGTTCTTTCGATGCAAGGAACAAGCGCATGTCTAGGGCCCACTCGAGGTAGTTATGCCCGGAGACGTGAAGGGCCTCGAATTCACATTTCTGAATGTTTGACATCTGAAACATGAGATTGATTTTGTTAGGGATTGTTTTGAGAAAATTTTGAATGCTGATGATGAAACTTTCTATTTTGAGAATATTTCTATTTTAGGAAAGTTTCTAAATTTGGAAAGTTTCTAATTTGGGTAATTTTCTAAATGAGGAAAGTTTCTATGTCAGAAAAATGTCTATATGAGGAAAGTTTTTATATGAGGAAACTTTCTATTAGAGGGAACTTTCTCGGAAATAGTAAATTTTAAAGGGTATGGTTTTAGTTACCCCGAACATGATGTCGGTTTAATAGCTGTGATTTAATCGGTTAAAGCCGAATATAATTTCGGTTAATGAGAACCAGGTTTAGCCGGTTTTAGGCGGTTTAGGAGGAACCCTAGGGGAGCCGAATATGATTAGGGTTTTATCTAGGGTTTTAACGGTTTGGAAAACATATTTTGGATGTGATTTCGAGATCTATAGGATCTGTGGTCGATGGTTTTAATAATTTCACAAGGACAACAAAGAAATCACGTGAAAAGGACTAGGGTTTAAGCATTATGACTTACGATTTTGAAGATTACAAAATCGTGAATCAAGCTTAGGATTTAGGGTTGATTTTCTTAGTTTATTCAATCAAGTGTTTCAAGCAAGAGAATCAACAATCAAATAAGCTGCAACAAGCTTATTAAACATGAAGAAAATCGAATAGGTTTATGCCATAAACATGGCCAAAAACGGTTGTTAGGTTTTTGTAGATTAGGGTTTTATAAAACGAGTTTAAAACCTTTGAACATGCATAAACTTGTAATTTAAACAATCAATCAACAAGTTATCAATCAATCATCAGAGTATCAAACACTTTCAATCAATTAGAGATCGATTTTTTTTTTTTTATAGGGTTTTGAAGTGTTTAAACAACAGGTTCTATGGCTTTCAGTTTTAGAAGATATCTTTTCCACCTTTGGATTTCTGACAGGCTAATGAAACTGGGAGCTAATAGACCTCAGTTAGCCGCTACAAATTCCAAGGATTGATCACCAAAACTGGAGAAGCTGCTGGTTGAAGAAGAAAAAACTCGGATCTGGTTTTTTTTTTTTTTTCGGTTGATCGTCGTGTAGTGTAAGTGTGCGTGAGGGCGCGTCCGACGTTGGATCGACAAACGGTTTTCACCAGTTGATTCGTCTCGTCGAGGGCTTCGATTTGATATGTAGATCGTCTTCTGGTTCCTCACGGTTTGGAGGATATGCGTCTTTTAAGTTTCGACTTGCTTTTAGGGTTTTGGTGGTGGCCGGATTTATTAGGGTTTTTTCGCTCAGAGAGTCTTATCGTGCTGATAACGTGTTGTGAAAACTTAGAAACTTTATTAATCACTGGAATGTATATATAGAGTACATAGGGAATCTAGGTTAAGTACAATGCCCTGATGGGCCTAATGGGCCGGTATAAGAGTCCATATATGATATGTGTTATAACAAAAACACAATTCATCACTTTCTCTTCTCTCTCGTCTTCTTCCTCATCCTCCGACGTTATGTCGGAACTCCGACAATGGGAGGAGAAGATGAGCTCCGGTAACGAAGGAAACGGAAACTTTCAATTGCAGAACGGAAACTTTCAATTGCAAAAGGGCGTAACCGATCTCAGATTTTGAGCAAAATCAAACTTTCAATTGCAAAAGGGCGTACCATTGATGAGTCATGTTATAAAACAAATGTAAGTTTTCTCTCTATCAGTTTAATATAATTCGTCACCTAATCTTAATATCTATTCTATTAAAACACAAAAGCACATTTAATGCTTGCATCTAAACACTCCCAAAGTTTTTTTATAATATTTTATTTAATTTTTATATTTAATTTTCAAAATTAGTTATTAATTTAGATATTTTTAGATTTCCTAAACTCTAGGTCATCTTTAATTTAAATTTCAAATTATTAGAAATTTAATTAAATTTAGTTACAAAAATTTGCATTTAATTTAATTTAAATTCAAAAAATTCAAAAAAAAATTATAATTAAATTTTATTACGAAGATTTAGATAATAATTTTAATAATTTAGAATTTCTTAAATACAGGAAAGATTTAATTTTAAATTTTAAATTTAAATAATATTTTTATAAAAATACATAGTAAATAAATATTTTATCGTATTTTATCATAAACAATCGGTCTAAAATATCAAATATTTGAGATTAATAAATATTTATATTATACAATAATATGATCGAGCTGATAAGAGTTATATATATATATATTTAAGGTCCATGAGTTAATTTATTAAAACATGTAAGATATTAATATGATTTGAGACAATTAAACTAACAAGTCAGCCCGTATATATATATAATATATATATATATATATTTTTTTTTTTAATAGCACAAATAGTAAAAAATATCGTATTATATTTTTTCATAATCAATTGGTCCAAATATTCCATATTAGTAAATATTTATAGGGTTATATAATTATAATTATAGTCTTATACGGGTTAGTTTGTCAAAACATGTAAGATATTAAAAATGATTTAAGACAACTAAATTGATGGATTAGCAAATTCATAGATATATAGATTGTTTATGTGTAAATCTAAATTCACATAATAACAAAGTTTATAATTAACATTAGATCAATGTATACTTAATTAACGTATACTCTTATTCTACTAATATACAAATTTTACTGTTTAAAATTAAAATATGATAACAATTTTTTGATTTAAAAAAATAAATAACAAAAATAAATTATATCTAAACAAAAAAGATAAATGTAACTTATATTAGAAATAAAAAATAAAACATTCTCGTGCGGACGCACGGGGTTAAAATCTAGTTGTATGTTGATTTCAGTTCATTATGATAGCAAGATTTTACCGAATTGTAAAAACAAAAACGAGAAGAGAATCTAAACGATGTTTCAAAAGAAATTTGGTTAGGATAACGGCTAAAGATAACCTATGACCATTTAATATTTTTGAGACTATATATAATTCTATGTCAACAAGTGAGAATGTGGTTATGAGAAAATTGCTCAAGCTTCATTTAAAATTATTATGTGTGAACGTTAAAGCTCCAAAGTAAGGCCAAGCTATCTTTCTAACCGTTTCGTAGTAACACAAAAGGTTGGACAAACTTCAACCTGTTAATGCGGCAAAGGATATGTTTACGTTTTGGGGTAATTTTAAATGACTGTAGAGCGAGAGACAAAAAGAAATGACTGTAGAGCAGAAACAAAAAAGAAAAGCTCTGTAATCTTTACATGTTTTATGAATTGCCACAGAATTCAGAAATACCACTTCATGATGAAATATCAGTTTATTAATTATTCAAAAAGACCAACTAAAATAAACAAATTACCAATAACCAAAAAAAGTTTATAAATGTAGCTTACTCATTCGCCTCTTTCTCTTACCAATAACCAAAAAAAGGTTGCTAGATTTGAATCAAACTTGGAGCATAATAAAATAAAAGTGCCCAGTCTGATCCTCCTTCAAAATCCACTTTTCTAACGTTACTGTCCTCTCCAACAATGTATACCCTGACTTTTCTATCGTTTTCAAAGCCATCACAGCACACGAGAGCTCCTCATCGAACAAGAAACTTGCACCGTGCCAAGCTATAAAACCAGGATCTAAATCAACTGCTAAGACCTTGGTCCACAACACCGCTTTAGTCTCAGTAATCTTATTTGTCACCCAAATCTCTGTCTTCGATGTAGTTTGGCATTGTGATAACACGGAAAGTTTGTCTTCTCTAATAACAGATAGACACTGAGTTGTATAACTTGTAAACTGACGCAGAAGACATAATCGCTCAAATCTTTCTGTTGTATAATCAAAACTTACTAATAAGCATTTCTCTTCTTTATCTCTAACAACCCAGTAAGTCCTTCCCTTCAAAGACACACCCCAATGAAGATAATCCAATTCGAAATCCATAGTGAGATCAAGAATCCTAGATGAATCTGAGGTAATCTCATACATTACGAATTCTTGTTTTTTGTCATAAACCCTGCAGGTCAATATTTTGTAGCTAATATCATTGGACTTTTTGTCTTGGTAGGATCCGAGAGCATATGAGGGCATTGAGGTGTAATCATTGCAAGGATTGATCCACCTTCTTTGACCAGTACACGGGTTCCATACCACGAGCCTAATGTTTTCCTCCAACGTGACACATAACAATAAACCGTCACAGTGAAAGACTTGCCAAATCTTGATTTGATATAAACTAGAATGAGGGTCGGTTAGGCTAAGTTCGCGTTTGACCTTCACAGGTGGAGATTTATGGAGATTGTTGCGCATCAAACATACACTAGATTCCTTATACATGAGATTCATAAAATGTTTTCGGGTTTTAAAGGAGTGCTTTGTTGTGAATCTCTTATTGTTGACTAAACAGTTCCATCGTTGGCAAGTAGATTGTAAACGTTTCAGAGATCTAGCCGGAACACGACAGAGTATCTCTTCTATCAAATCCTTTGGAAGTTCGGACATCGTAGTCATTGTGATTGATCTCTCAAGGACGAACTGTTGGTGGCTTTTGTTTAGAATTTTCGTGTTTCATGTTCGCTCACTCTTCGTATCTTCTCTATTAAAATAGAAGCATCTTTTGTGTCCAACAGAATTTTGTTTTTGTTGTAAAAAACTTAGAAACTTTATTAATCACTGGAATGTATATATAGAGTACATAGGGAATCTAGGTTAAGTACAATGCCCTGATGGGCCTAATGGGCCGGTATAAGGGTCCATATATGATATGTGTTATAACACTCCCCCTTGGACGAGTGAACCGGGCCAGCTACTCAATCGGGATCTCGATAATGCGCTGGGGAATGTTGCCTCATTAAAACCTTACCAGGAAAAACCCAGTGAGACAAAACCATGGTGAAGGAAAAAGAGTACAACACGCATTACTCCCCCTGATTGTAGCATCACTGCAGATCTCTAAGTCTATACATTCCTATCTGTTTGACGAGCTTCCGGTGTGTTGAAGTAGGCAATGATTTGGTGAAGAGGTCAGCTGAATTCTCACTGGATCGGACCTGCTGAACGCTGAGAGTGCCGTCCTTCTGCCAGTCTGAGGTTGAGAAGAACTTCGGTAGAATGTGCTTCGTCCGATCTCCTTTGATATATCCTTCCTTGAGCTGAGCTATGCATGCCGCGTTGTCTTCATACATCACCGTGGGCTGTGTGTCTTCGTCCATACCACAATCTCTGCGGATGTGCTGAGTCATGGAGCGCAGCCAGACGCATTCCCTACTAGCCTCATGAATGGCTAGGATTTCAGCATGGTTTGATGAAGTGGCAGTGAGTGTCTGCTTCATTGATCTCCAAGAGATGGCTGTTCCTCCATGCGTAAAAACGTAGCCAGTTTGAGACTTGGCAGTGTGTGGATCTGATAGATATCCTGCATCGGCGAAGCCGACTAACCCATCTTTATTTTGGTTAGTATAGAAGAGTCCTAAGTCTTGAGTACCTCGAAGGTATCTTAGGAGATGTTTTATACCGTTCCAGTGCCTCTGAGTTGGGGATGAACTATATCGAGCGAGGAGGTTCACGGCGAAACATATGTCTGGTCTAGTGTGACTAGCCAGGTACATTAACGCTCCTACAGCACTGAGGTATGGCTTTTCAGGACCAAGGATTTCTTCATCATCCTTTTTGGGACCAAGAGGGTCATCACTTAAGCTTCTAACTACCATTGGGCTGGTCAATGGGTGAGCTTGGTCCATATTAAATCGCTTGAGTACCTTTTCGATATAAGCCGATTGATGCACAAGGATTCCTCCTTTGATGTACTCAAGTTGTAATCCCAAACAGTACTTTGTTTTGCCTAGGTCTTTCATTTCGAATTCTGCTTTTAAGCAGTCGACTGTTTGGGAGATCTCACCAGATGTTCCGAGGATGTTTAGATCATCCACGTATACTGCTATGATTACAAATCCTTTGTTTGAGTACTTCTTGATGAAGATGCATGGACTGATGGGGTCATTTTTGTAGCCTTCTTTGATGAGGTAATCGCTGAGGCGGTTGTACCACATACGCCCACTTTGTTTCAGTCCATAGAAGGATTTGTTCAGCCTGATGCAATATTGATCTCGAGATGCATTTTTGTCTTTTAGTTCAATGCCATCTGGGAGTCTCATATATATTTCGTTGTCCAGGGGCCCATAGAGATATGCGGTTACAACATCCATTAACCGCAGATCAAGATTTTCTCTTATGGCCAGACTTATGAGGAATCGGAATGTTGTTGCATCCACCACTGGAGAATAAGTCTCCTCATAATCGATTCCGGGTCTCTATGAGAATCCTTGTGCTACAAGCCGTGCTTTGTATCGAACGACTTCACCGAGTTCGTTCCTTTTGCGCACAAAGACCCATTTGTGGCCCACTGGCTTGATGTGTGATGGGGTCCGGATGATCGGACCGAACACGTTTCTGAGTTTGAGACTCTTTAACTCCACGTTTATGGCTTCTTTCCATTTTAGCCAATCTGTTCGATGTGTACACTGTGTTATTGACGTGGGTTCTAGATCCTCTTGCGTGAGCGCAACATCAAGTGCTACTTTGTATGCAAAGAGTGCATTTAAGTCGACTTCTTTTCGATTCCATTGTATTCCGGACATATTGTAATTGATGGAGATCTCATTGTTATCTTCTGAACCTGGAGATTCGGCGTCCCGAACTTCTATTGAGGGTTCATTAGATTGAGTCTCAGCCGCGGCTATGTCTGATATTGCAGGAATCCCGGTTTCGGTTATTGCACCTTTCTTTGATTTCCGGGGATTCTTATCTTTGGAACCGAGAGGTCTGCCCCGTTTGAGACGTGGTGCAGACTCTGTAGCAACTTGGGTCTGTCCCGTTGGGACGGCTATTCGTACTGGTGCATTACAAGCTGGGATGTACGATTTGGTTACTTTGGTCGGGTCAGCAAAGGAATCTGGCAATTGATTAGCTAGCTTTTGATAATGAATAATCTTTTGGATCTCTGAATCACATTCTAGAGTCCGAGGATCTTGCCAATTTAATGATGTTTGATTCCATGAAAGATCTTTGACCAGCTTGTTTGTCTCACCACCTAAAGAGGGATATACCGATTCATCGAATTGGCAATCCGCATATCTGGCCTTGAAGAGATCTCCAGTGGTTGGCTCGAGATATCTTATGATGGTGGGAGAGTCAAAACCAACATATATTCCCATCCTTCTTTGAGGTCCCATTTTGGTTCGATGTGGTGGAGCAATGGGTACATATACTGAACACCCAAATGTTTTGAGATGGGAGATGTCTGGCTCATGACCCGAGAGTAGTTGGGATGGGGAATATTTGTGTTCACTAGATGGCCGGATGCGTATGAGTTCAGCAGCATGTAATACTGCATGTCCCCATGCTGAGGCCGGGAGCTTTGATCTCATGAGTAATGGTCGGGCTATCCATTGAATGCGTTTAATGAATGATTCAGCCAATCCATTTTGAGTATGGACATGTGCTACAAGATGTTCCACGGTTACCCCCATGGCCATACAGTAGTCATTAAACGCTTGTGAGGTAAATTCACCAGCATTGTCAAGGCGGATAGTCTTTAGTGGGAAGTCAGGGAAATGGGCCCGCAATTTGATGATTTGGGCCAAGAACCTAGCGAAGGCTTGGTTCCGAGAGGACAAGAGACAAACATATGACCAACGGGTCGATGCGTCTATAAGGACCATGAAGTACCGGAATGGTCCGGAAGATGGATGTATAGGTCCACAGATATCGCCCTGGATTCTTTCTAGGAAATGAAGTGTTTGTTTAGAGATTTTAACTGGTGAAGGCCGAGTGATCAATTTGCTTTGAGAACAAGCTGTGCACATGAGGTGTTGAGGATAAGCTCGGTTTTCTTTGAGGGTATGCCCTTGAGAGTTTTGAATTAGTTTACGCATCATATTTGCACCGGGATGACCGAGCCGGTCGTGCCAAATAGTATAATCAGTAAACCGGGCTTTGAGAGTGGTATTAGCTTCAATCATACTGACTTTAGCATGGTAAAGTCCAGTAGAGAGCGCGGGTATGGTTTCGAGGATTTGTTTATGGCCGTCTACGGTTTTAGTGACTAGGAGGGATTCTTTGTTCCCTTGACCTTGGGTTTCTATGTGGAAACCATTCTGTCTTATATCCTTGAAGCTCAGAAGATTTCTCTTCGAACTAGGAGAATATAGAGCATCTGGTATTTCAAGTTGTGTGCCATTTGATAGCAACACATAGGCATGGCCATATCCTTCGATAAGGTTTGAGGGACCCGCGATGGTGCTAATATTTGCGGTTTGATAGGTTAGGTTTATGAAGTAACTTTTGTTTCTTAAAATAGTGTGGCTGGATCCACTATCTACGACTATGGTTTCCATTTGCTGGTGTGCTTCATTATGAATAGAAGATAGAATTCGGTATTGAGGAATTCAGAAAATGTGATAAATCATAAAGTAAAGCAGTGTCTGAGAATAAAGGCAAATGGAAAAAAAAAAAAAAAAATGAAACAAATCCCAAAATGAAAAAAAAAATAAAGAACAAAATCAAATTGTATCAGAGTTTCAGATGATTGAATTAATCGAGGAGATCAGCTGTTTCATAGTCCATGGGGTCGGTCTGCTCGTTTGTGGTGTTCTCATCATCAAGGAGGTCGTCACCTTCCAGGTTAGCAGCATCGACTGGCTGAGTCATGTTGGCTTCAGCAGGAGCTTTTCCGTACTTCTGGTATAGATCGCAGTGGATCTTGGGGGTGCGACATTGCTTTGTTGGGTGGTTGAACATCCCACATCTGGTACAAGCAGAGTGATCGGGGTTGGTGTGGCGGGTCGGCTTGGTGATGCCTCGACCACGACCAGGACCATAACTGAGGTTAGGTCGGTTGCCACGACCATGTCCGCGTCCACGTCTTCCACGTCCATGTCCTCAGCCATTACCACGTCCATTACCACGTCCACGGCGGTGATCTGAGGATCTATCGGGTTGAACATGGTAGAACTCTTGACGAGAAGCTGGGACAGGAGCCGATCCCGGGGGCCTCATAGCGCTGTTCCTCATAAGCAGCTGGTTATTCTTCTCAGCGAGGAGAAGACAGGACAACAAGTCTTCGTACAATGTGTGTTTCATTGCACGGTATTGTTGTTGGAGCACAACATTCTCTGTGCTGAATGTGGATAATGTTTTCTCGAGGAGATCATTATCTGTCACATTCTCGCCACAGAGTTTCCGGATGGCAACAATACGAAAGAGTTCGTTGTTGTAATCATCTACGGATTTGTAGTCCTGGAACCGAAGGTTCTTCCAGTCGAAATCTGCCTGAGGCAACTGGACCATTTTCTGATGGTCATATCGCTTTTTCAGCGCTTGCCACAATTCAAGTGGATTCTCAAGAGTGAGATATTGCTGCTTAAGGCTCGGGGCCAGATGATGGCGTATGTGACATATCGCCTGAGACTGTCCCTTACGGGATGCGGTGTTACCGTCGGTAATACATGCATCGAGTTCTTTTGATGCAAGGAACAAGCGCATGTCTAGGGCCCACTCGAGGTAGTTATGCCCGGAGACGTGAAGGGCCTCGAATTCACATTTCTGAATGTTTGACATCTGAAACATGAGATTGATTTTGTTAGGGATTGTTTTGAGAAAATTTTGAATGCTGATGATGAAACTTTCTATTTTGAGAATATTTCTATTTTAGGAAAGTTTCTAAATTTGGAAAGTTTCTAATTTGGGTAATTTTCTAAATGAGGAAAGTTTCTATGTCAGGAAAATGTCTATATGAGGAAAGTTTTTATATGAGGAAACTTTCTATTAGAGGGAACTTTCTCGGAAATAGTAAATTTTAAAGGGTATGGTTTTAGTTACCCCGAACATGATGTCGGTTTAATAGCTGTGATTTAATCGGTTAAAGCCGAATATAATTTCGGTTAATGAGAACCAGGTTTAGCCGGTTTTAGGCGGTTTAGGAGGAACCCTAGGGGAGCCGAATATGATTAGGGTTTTATCTAGGGTTTTAACGGTTTGGAAAACATATTTTGGATGTGATTTCGAGATCTATAGGATCTGTGGTCGATGGTTTTAATAATTTCACAAGGACAACAAAGAAATCACGTGAAAAGGACTAGGGTTTAAGCATTATGACTTACGATTTTGAAGATTACAAAATCGTGAATCAAGCTTAGGATTTAGGGTTGATTTTCTTAGTTTATTCAATCAAGTGTTTCAAGCAAGAGAATCAACAATCAAATAAGCTGCAACAAGCTTATTAAACATGAAGAAAATCGAATAGGTTTATGCCATAAACATGGCCAAAAACGGTTGTTAGGTTTTTGTAGATTAGGGTTTTATAAAACGAGTTTAAAACCTTTGAACATGCATAAACTTGTAATTTAAACAATCAATCAACAAGTTATCAATCAATCATCAGAGTATCAAACACTTTCAATCAATTAGAGATCGATTTTTTTTTTTTTATAGGGTTTTGAAGTGTTTAAACAACAGGTTCTATGGCTTTCAGTTTTAGAAGATACCTTTTCCACCTTTGGATTTCTGACAGGCTAATGAAACTGGGAGCTAATAGACCTCAGTTAGCCGCTACAAATTCCAAGGATTGATCACCAAAACTGGAGAAGCTGCTGGTTGAAGAAGGAAAAACTCGGATCTGGTTTTTTTTTTTTTTTCGGTTGATCGTCGTGTAGTGTAAGTGTGCGTGAGGGCGCGTCCGACGTTGGATCGACAAACGGTTTTCACCAGTTGATTCGTCTCGTCGAGGGCTTCGATTTGATATGTAGATCGTCTTCTGGTTCCTCACGGTTTGGAGGATATGCGTCTTTTAAGTTTCGACTTGCTTTTAGAGTTTTGGTGGTGGCCGGATTTATTAGGGTTTTTTCGCTCAGAGAGTCTTATCGTGCTGATAACGTGTTGTGAAAACTTAGAAACTTTATTAATCACTGGAATGTATATATAGAGTACATAGGGAATCTAGGTTAAGTACAATGCCCTGATGGGCCTAATGGGCCGGTATAAGAGTCCATATATGATATGTGTTATAACAGTTTTTTAATTTTCTACTATTCTACTTTTAGATATCTGTTGTCAAAAAAAATTTAAATTTTATTTATCTATTTTATTTATTTTCAAAAATTATTAAATAATATATGTGAATTTTGACTTTAAAATTAATTCAAAATTTTTTAAATTTTAATTTAATTACTTTAGTTTTTTTTTTAAATATAGTTAGAATTAATTATAAAAATTACAACAATCAGTTTTTATTATTTTTACAAAATAGTAAATACGACATTACCTTATTTTCTTTATAAATATCCAAATTTAAATAATATTTTCATAATAATAAAAATAATAAACGATATATTATTATATACTTTTGTATAATTAATTATTTTAAAATTTTAAAAATTTAAAATTAAAAAAATATAGGCTATATATATGGTAATGTGAACATATAGAGTAAAATTATTTTTTTTATTCATAATCTTTTCAGATTAATCGAATGAACGGGTTAAAATTAAGTTTTTATAATCGTGATAAAATTTATTAGAAAAAATAAATTTTTAAAAATAAATTTTATCTAAACACAAAAAATAATTGTATAATTTAATAGAAAATATTATATCTATAAAAAATTCAAATTATATTAAAAAATTAGATTAAAAAAAGAAATTTCTCGTGCGGACGCACGGGATAGAATCTAATATATATTAGAGACGACAGACAAATTAAGTTTTTTTTTTTTGAACGCAGTTGTTGTATTTTATTAATTCAAGAGAGGAAACAGAGTTTAAACCAGAGCCATAACAGAAACAAAAGAAAATTACAGCAAAACATCATGTCGAATACACAGAGGCATTCAACTTTTCCTGCTCGAGAATTTCAGTTAACCAGCCCGGCGCTCCCGAAGCCACATATGATTGAAACCTATCCTCCACCACAACACTTTTCGCAATCATGAATGCCGGTTTGTTGGCCTCTCGTACTTCCAGTACCCATTTCCATTCTGATATACCATGCAAAGTCTCAAGGATTTCCCTTGAGTGAGATCGAAAAGCAGGCCATGCCTGTGGATTGTTTACAGCCCCAATAATCTCTGATGCCTCTGTAGCAAACACTACGCTACCGATATGATGACTGATCATGCTTTCCACCGCCCATAGATGTGCCAAAGTTTTCGCCTCAAACAAGCTCTCAACAGCACTAAAAGCTCGACGACTGTGAATCCTGGTAATTCCCTTGTGATCTCTCACAATCCAAGCAGCTCCACCCACTCTCTTTCTTTGCGACCAGGTGACACCAATTTTACACTTTAGCGTCCCTTCATCAGGAGGTAACCACTCCTTTGGCTGCTGTGTGTCAAGCGCCCCGTCCCCTGATTCCAGATTTCTACCTTTTTGAGCCTCAAACCATTGATTAGAGTCCTCCCAAATTTTTGCAGTTGTTTGAGGGGCCGTGAATCTCTTCCCTTCAAATAAGAAGGCATTCCTGTTCTTCCAAATTTGCCAGAGGATCCATGGGAAACTTCTGCTTATCTCCTCTGGGATCTCCTTATCATGGACTCTATTCAACAAATACGCCATGTTTACAAAGATGGATTGTTGGTGAAAACCTTCAGCAGGGAAAGGAAAGTTTGTTAGCGCCCATATCTGTCTCGCTATAGTGCACTCGAAGAGAACATGGTTTATAGATTCCCCATTCCCTCCACAGCTTTGACATATCCCATCCACTGATATTCCTCGCCCTTTACGACCATCAGAGACTGGCAGTGCGTCACTCAATACCTTCCACATAAACAATTTAATCTTTGGACTCGTTTTTGTAGTCCAGACTTTGCTCTTCAAAGGGTTCAAAGATGGTCTTTCCATAGCCATTGTTCTAGCTTCCGACGGTTGCAAAGTCTTCCCCAACCAATACCCAGACTTAACAGAGTAACTCCCACACCTATTATAAGCCCATTCATAGCCATCTTTCAGTCCAAAATCCGGTCTGCTTTTCATGATGATTTCAATGTCTCCCGGTACAAAGATTTCTTCCATCTTTCCTCTGTCCCAAGTTTTAGTCTGAGGGTTGATCAGGTCTCTCACTTTCAGGTTTAAATCCCAGAACAATTCTCGCCGAAATGGCGCCCGCGGTCTATCATCCAAGATCCAATTGTCTAACCACACGTTAACTGTATCACCCGACCCGATTGACCTCTTTAACCCTTTCTCCAAAAGCTCTCTTCCATATAGAATGCTCCTCCAAGCAAAGGAAGGACGAGATCCCATCGCTGCTGACAGGAAAACTGAGTTGGGGTAGTAACGGCTTCGTAAAACCCTGGCACAGAGGCTCTCCGGTAATGCAAGTAGCCTCCATCCTTGTTTAGCCAACAAGGCTTGGTCAAACAGTTCAATATCTCTGAATCCGAGCCCCCCCAACTCTTTTTCCAAGCACAGTTTCTCCCACGAGACCCAATGGATTTTCTTCTTATCCTCCTGAGCCTCCCACCAGAAGTTCGACATGGCACTGGTAAGATTTTGGCAAGTCGTTTTTGGCAGCTTAAAAACAGACATTGCATACACCGGCATCGACATGGCGACTGATTTCAAAAGGATCTCCTTTCCCCCTTGCGACAAGAATCTGCCATACCATCCATGAAATCGCGACTTCATCTTGTCTTGGATATAACTTAGCATTTCGATTTTCGATCCAGAAAAACACTCTGGCAATCCTAAGTACTTCTCTGTTCCTCCTTCCGATTGGATGCCCAATTTGGTCTTTATTCTCTGTTTAGTATCTTCTTCAACCTCCGCTCCAAACGTGATTGATGATTTATCAAAATTTATCATTTGTCCAGATACTCTCTCGTACTCTTTCAAGATGCTATACAGAACTTCACATTGAGAGTCATCCACCTTGCACAACACCAAGCAGTCGTCTGCAAATAACAAATGATCCACTGCTGGTCCATTTTTGGAGAATTGTATCCCAGATAGTTTCCCTTCCATAGCAGCCTTATTCATCAAGTATGAAAATCCCTCAGTACACAGGTCGAAGTGGAAAGGCGATAGCGGATCGCCTTGTCGCAGCCCCCTTCCTGGTCTTATCATCCCATGTGCCTCTCCATTTATAAGCACCGTATATATCACAGTTCGTACGCAGAACATGATCCATTGGAGAAATTTGGAATGAAATCCCAGCGCCGTAAGCAAGGCTTGTAGATAGTCCCACTCTATTCGGTCATATGCTTTTGACATATCCGTTTTGATTGCCATGTCTTCTACAGATATTCGAGGATGTGTCCTGAGTGCGTGCAACATCTCATGTGCGATAATGATATTATCCGAGATCAAAGCTGACTGCATTGGTGAGACAATTTCCGCGAGCCAAGGTTGTAATCTCCTGACCAAAATCTTTGAGACAGCTTTGTAAATGACCGTACACAAACTTATTGGCCTCAAATCTACCATTCTCGTCGGTTTTGTGACCTTAGGGATGAGGCATATCTGCGTGTAATTCAACTCAACTGGGAACTCCCCTGTTTCAAAAAAACGTTTGATCTCTAAGACGATTTGTGGCCCCAATATATCCCAGTAGTGTTGAAAGAAAAGGCCATTCATGCCATCAATACCCGGAGCACTCGAGGGATTTATAGAAAACACCGCATCCTTGATTTCCAAAGTTGATACATCCTTGATAAGGCTCATATTCATTTGTTCTGAGACTTTCACTACAAAGCCATTAAAGAAGTCTCCACAGCTATCAGATCTTGAGGAAGTAAAAAGTTTTTGAAAATAACTTCCTGCCACAGCGCCCATCGAACCAGCAGTGCTTGTCTTATTACCCTGATCATCAATCAAGTATTCAATCTGGTTCCTTAATCGTTGGGTCTTTACCGATGCGTGAAAAAACTTGGTGTTTTTATCTCCTAGCTGCAGCCACTTCTCTCTACATTTCTGTTTCCAGAAACTCTCCTCTTCTCTATATGCTTTTGCAATTTCAGCCTTCAGGTTCCTACAGATATCCAGTCTGGGATGCAGCAATGATTCCTCTATCTCCAAATCTCTGCGCATTTGTAGGATTCTGTCCATAGAGTTGCTTTTGTTTTCTTTTTTCCACTTACTGAGGGACTTCCTGCACGCACCTAATCTGTCCATCAAACTCCTCGGTGCTGTTTGATGAATCCCTCTCCAAGCCACTCTAATAGCCTCCTTTACATTCGGTTTTCCAATGAACCGTTTATCAAAGCGAAAGGATCCTCTTGTCTCATTCGGTCTGCTCATTAGGTTCACAAGCACCGGCCTATGGTCAGATCCAAGTTTCTTTATAAAAACTTGGTTCGCTTGTGGAAAAAATTGTCTCCACGCCTTGTTACCAAAACATCTATCCATCTTGCTTTGGACCCAATGTTTCTGTCTCACTCCTGCCCATGTGAAGCCATCTCCATTCCCTATTAGTTCGACCATCTCACAGGTTCGAAGCATCTCAGCAAAGTCCTTAAAGGACCCCTCACTACGTCTTGGGCCTCCTAGTTTCTCTCCATTGTGTAAGATTTCATTAAAATCTCCCACCATACACCACACGTCTTTCCTTTGCACACCAATGCGCATCAATTTCTCCCATACATGAGTCCTGCCTTTGACCTCAGGATCCCCATATACAAAAGAAACATAGAACTCAAAAGAACCACACTGCACAGCACAGTCGATTAGATGCTTGTCTGCATACTTTACATCCACCGACACGTCATTCGTGATCACTGGTCCATGTCGTAGTACAAGGTTTTGAGTTTGAGTATCTGAGCTTATACTCTGTATTGATATTTTCACTCTTTCCTCCCTTATTTTCCTCTCCGTTCCTTCTGCTGCAAGGAGGTACAGTCTCATCTCTTGTAATACATCTGGATGGATTTTCAGCCGACCTGACAATGGATCCAGTCCCACCTGATCCTCCCTCAGCACGCCAAACAAATGATCGTTTTCTTTCAGTATCGGTTCCACCCTCTGTTTTGCTTCCAAGATGTTCCTCCTTCGAGCCTCTGCCTTTTCCTTTCTCAGTTTTACCAACAGCGGGCACTTGTCTTTCTCATGTGTCAGACGTTGACAGTTGTAACATTGTTTTTGAATTCTTTCGAAATCGTACCACACTGTTGTTGTTTCACCATTCGGAAGAATCACTGCCTTTGACCTGCGCACTGGTTTAGAAACGTCAAATCTCACCTTGACCCGCACGTAATCATTGCTCTGGGGTTTCTCAGGGTCAAAAGCCATCTCCTCCACCTTCCCAATGATGTCTCCTAGATCGTAAATAGAGGCTTCTGTGTAATAATTCACAGAAATATTACGTATCTGTATCCACACCGGCATAAACTGCAGATAGTCCTCTGGTGGCTTCTCCACCCATCGGTCTATAACATAGACCACTTGTTAAACGTCCAAACCCGCTTCTTCATGACCTCCTCTAGATCGTGTTCATACTTGAAGATGAACTGAAACCTCTCACTAGACAGAGCAACACCTCGTACCCGATCATAAACCTGCCACTTACGTGGCATATCTAAGATAAGGTCAGCCATGTTCTGACATTCTGGGTTTAGGGTTCGCCCCATGATGCTCATCACATTCTTTTCGCAGGAACAGTACTTCGGAAGATTTGGCAAGACGAAAGGAACGTCCTCCTCCTCTTCGAGAGATAGAGACATAAGTGCTTTATCGATGTTCGCCATAGCTCAGTCGCAATACGTTGAGATACTGCCAAGTTTGGATTAGGGTTCTTAGGTTTCAGTAAACGGCGCCTCAAAATATCCTTCAAAAACCGAGGAAACCCTACAAAAACAGAAAGATCTTCAAAAGATTCACCACTTTTGTGTTTTTCTTGAAATAATTGGATAACAAACGAGGAAAAAACCCAGCCAAAAGCCCCACCTTTTCAAAACTAAAGTCTCTGAATGGTTTAGAGAGACCTAAGCGAAAGGGAGAGTCACCGACGTATCAATATTGGTTGACAAATTAAGTTATCTTATTTCCTTTTTCTTATCGGAAAATTAGAATAAAAAATTATTTCCTTTTTCCTATTTGATTTCTATTTTGTATTTTCTAATTTTCCTCCAAGTTTATCATATGTTTAACGTTTAACTACAACTAGATTTTAACCCCGTGCGTCCGCACGAGAATGTTTTATTTTTTATTTCTAATATAAGTTGCATTTATCTTTTTTGTTTAGATATAATTTGTTTTTGTTATTTATTTTTTTAAATCAAAAAATTGTTATCATATTTTAATTTTAAACAGTAAAAGTTTTATATTAGTAGAATAAGAGTACGCGTTAATTAAGTATACATTGATCTAATGTTAATTATAAACTTTGTTATTATGTGAATTTAGATTTACACATAAAAAATCTATATATCTATGAATTTGCTAATCCATCCGTTTAGTTGTCTTAAATCATTTTTAATATCTTACATGTTTTGACAAACTAACCCGTATAAGACTATAATTATAATTGTATAACCCTATAAATATTTACTAATATGGAATATTTGGACCAATTGATTATGAAAAAATATAATACGATATTTTTTACTATTTGTGCTATTAAAAAAAAATATATATATATATATTATATATATATACGGGCTGACTTGTTAGTTTAATTGTCTCAAATCATATTAATATCTTACATGTTTTAATAAATTAACTCATGGACCTTAAATATATATATATATATATATATATATATAACTCTTATCAGCTCGATCATATTATTGTATAATACAAATATTTATTAATCTGAAATATTTGATATTTTAGACCAATTGATTATGATAAAATACGATAAAATATTTATTTACTATGCATTTTTATAAATTTAAAATTTTAAATTAAATCTCTTCTGTATTTAAGAATTTTTAAAGTATTAAAATTATTATCTAAATTTTCGTAATAAAATTTAATTATAATTTTTTTTGAATTTTTTGAATTTAAATTAAATTGAATGAAAATTTTTGAAACCAAATTTAATTAAATTTCTAATAATTTGAAATTTAAATTAAAGATGACCTAGATTTTAGGAAATCTAAAAATATCTAAATTAATAACTAATTTTCAGAAATTAAATATAAAAAAAAATATTATAAAAAAAAACTTTAGGAGTGTTTAGATGCAAGCACTAAATGTGCTTCTGTTTTAATAGAATAAATGATTCAAGCTGTGTAATTAGGATCCAGGTATGGCTTTGTTTATTTCAAGGGTTGGTTATTGTTAAGGTTCCATTTTAAAATCATAACTAGATTCTAACTCTGTGCGCTTACACGAAATTTTTTTTTGTTTTTTGTTTAAATATTTTTGTAATATAATTTGTATTTATTTTGTGTTTAGGTATAATTTATTTTGATAAATTTATTTTTTTCTAAATCAAGAATTTTGTTATCATTTATCAATAAAAGTATGAGTTAGTTATGTATATATCGATGTAATGTTTATTATGTGAATTTAGATTACCACATAACCAATCTATATATATAAGTGTTTAAGTAGACTTACCCGTCTATTTAATTGCCTCAAATCATCTTAATAGCTTACATGTTCTTACAAACTTTTTTTTTTGTCAACAGCCTAAGTTTACATAAATTACATCTTCATGGTAGACACGTACACTTTTTGCCAAGTTGTCTGTCTTCGAGTTCTTCGCGCGAGGGATCTGAGATATAGAAAAGTAGCTAAAGCTGTCCTTCATTTTCCCAATCTCCTCTAAATGTAAAGCAAAAGCCAGCCATTCTTCAGATATAGACACAATCTTCACCAACTCTGAACAGTCTGTTACAAAAACTACTGCAGTCTTCTGATTCTCCAACATACAATGCATAGCCCATATAAGTGCTTCCATCTCCGCATGTAGAGGCGTAAGACTTCGTCTTACCTTTTGTGCTCCCATTACTTTGTCTATAGTACCTTCTTGGAACAAGTACCATCCTAATCCGACTGATAACTCTGTATCTTTCAAAGATCCGTCAATATAACATCACCAACCTACATAAGGCATATATATTATGCATTCCAAAAGATTACACGTGTCTATGGGGGTTGAATCATGTTCACACCTTTCAGCCTCCTCCCATAAGGCCGTCTCTGTTTCCGGAATTTTCAATGTAATTTGTGGATCTATATCAATATTTGAATATACTTTCTCGTTATGTGTTTTCCAAATATACCAAATAATCCATGGGAGTTGTGTATTTTTAATCCCTTTTGGTAATCTCCAGAAAAGATGATCGAAATTTGAGTAAACCGATGTCATTGGAAAAACACCAGGTGGTGTTGCTATCTTAGATAATGCCCAAGTTTGTAGCGCCGGGGGACACTAAAAAAGGACGTGATTTATTGTCTCTTCTTCTACTCCACACCTTGAACATTGTGTATCACATTGTATTTCCCGGGAACATAACCGAGCCGACACTGAAAGACAACCAGATATTGCTTGCCATATAAAATGTCTCAACTTCGGGGAGCAGTTCAATTTCCAACGATGCATGTAATTGCTTAATGTCTGGGCCATAGAAGTCCTCGGAAATTCCATCTGAAAACTGATGCTCAGTTTTGTATCCTGATTTAATCGTATATTTTCCAGATTTTGTGAAATGCCATTCCAATGAGTCTGGTCTATAGGATCTACTAATGGGAATTCCTCGAATGATTTTCACATCAGCTGGATCAATAATTGCCGTTATCAAACCTAGATTCCATGTATTCGTTACTAGGTCAATCAGATGTTTAACCATAAAATTTCTGACAAACTAATATGTATAAAACAACAATTATAAAAAGTGACCCTAACCGCTCAATCATATTATTGTATAAATATTTGCTAATCTTTGAAATTTTAGGCTGATTGATTATGATTAAAAAAATACAATAACATATTCATTTCTATGACCCACGAAAAATAAATTAATATTCCGTTATTAAAATCCTGCTATTATTTTTTTGTAAAAAGTATAATAAAAAGGATTTTTGTAATTTTTGGTAAGTAATTAAATTTATATTTAAGGAAATACAAAATAATATAAATTAATATCTAAATTTTTGAAATTAAATATAAATACAAAATAATATGCTCTTTTTAATTAACACTACAATTATAAAAACATAACTCCAACCTGTCCAATCATATTACTGTATGATATAAATATTTATTATTTTATAAATGTGAAATTTTAGAATGATTGATTATGATAAAAAAATACAATAACATATCGTTTATCATATGCACTATTATGAAAATATTATTTAGTTTTAATTTTTGTTTTTTAATTTTTTTTGGTCAAAATTATTTTAAATTAAATCTAACAAAATTCAAAATAATCTAAATAAATATCTAAATATTAGAAATTACGTTTAAATATAAAAAATCGAATATTTTATATTAAATTTAATCAATATATTTGAGGAAATTTAAAGTAATCTGATTAAATATCTTAATTTTCAGAATTAAATGTATATATAAAAGAAATTTTATTTTGAAATAATATACAATAAATTTGGATATTTTTAAAATTATTTTCAAAAATTATTTTATAAAAAACTTTGAAAATGTTTAGAAGCAAGCACTAAAATTACTTCTGTTTTAATATAATAGATAACATATTTGTATGAAACACCAAAAATTTCTAGGCAACAAAAGGTGTGACTAAGGCAATGTTTCAAATGAACGGGGGCAGATGAACCTGCCGTTCTTAAGTTGATGCCACAGATTTAGGAAAGCTTAAAACTGAAACATAATCTAATATATAAAGAGATAAAGGGTGCTCTCCAGCGGCAACACATTAGCCCTCCTTTATTAGTTAATTTAATTTTTTTTTAATTTTATAAGTCAATTAAATTATAAAAAACAAAAAAACATGCATCTAATTTAATTTATTTTTATTTTACTTTTTAAAATTGTTATCACTGTTCATTTCTCGTCAAAAACATAGGTGTGGTTACAAAATCTTAAAAAGTTTTGCTATCTTCTTATCACAAATATCTTCGTACTCCAAGATTTATATGTATATGCTTTTTAACCAAATATTGAAAATAAAAAAAAATAAAAAAGTATGATTTTTTAATTTCGTAAGAGTTCATTACCTTTCTGGATGACACATTTCATCATTCTATCTATTTACTTAGGCATCTGAAAAAACATACAATTTTTACTCTCTCTTTCTCTTTTTGATAATTATAGAGGCATCACTAGAAAAACATCATATTAGAATAGTGGAAAAAACATAACATTTATAACTCATGCATTCAAGCAGATTTATAACTCATGCATTCAAGCAGATTCACCATGACATCACAGTTAGGTGATAGCTACAATCGGTGGAAGTGCTAATAAGTTTAAAAAATTTCAGCAAAAAGAAGTACTTGGTAATAAGTTTTGGCACAAAATATCTAAAGTTCTTCAAACATCAATTTATCTTTCTCTTAAATGTTTTAGTTTGTAAGTGTTGTTGTTTGATAATTTTGGTTTTAGTTTCTTTTGTGTGTCATAGCTGTAGCTAGCTAAGTTTGTTTAAGGTGTTAAACAAAAGATGCCCTTTTGGGTTTTGTCTTCAGAAACAGTGATGCTTTAATGTTTGAGACTCTGTCGGCTTGTATGCAATGTTTCTCGTTTATCAACAAAATTAATTATCAGATACCAAAAAAATCTCAAAAAATATATAAGGAAGACACTATTCGTCAACTT